TCATGTTAAAGAATAATTTAAACCATAAAAAGGTAAGCAATTTGTAGCAAATGGCAAAATAGTTTCACAATTTTTCATGATGAATCCATTACCGCCCCAGTCTGATTTTTCATGACTGATTGGACTTGCTGACATATTCACGTTAATAAAATAAATATCCAATAGTAACATTGCCATAACAATTTTTTTTATTTTTTTTTCAGGTATTCTCAAGTTAAAAAGTACAAAATCCATAACGCAAAGGAGGTTTCTGTACACTAAGGTAAATATATTTTTGTTTTAAATTTATTATAATTCTAAAATATTCATTGTGATGATTTGATTTACCGCCCCAGTCTGAACTTCATGACTGATTGGTTTTTCTGATTTATTTCAAAAATATTTTTATGCTTTTGCATTTTATGGTAAAATAAATCAATTTTTATTTTTTTTACAGATTATTTTCAATACAATTAATAATGGGTCTGCTAGGGAAACAAAGGTAATTAAATAATAAAATATAACACTCATCACTACTAAAATTTTCTATGATGAGAATCTCTTTTGAGAAGTAATTTTTAAAAAATAATTTCGATGTTTGAATTGCCAAAAGGATGCTGAAAAATAATTTTTCATAATCGTATTTTTTTCTTGTATTATTTTGTTTTTCTTATAAAATTTCATTTTACAGATCCTAAACCGTCCAGGGTTGCCATCCTTCATCCAGCGTTGAAAAGGTGGGTGTTTTTCAAATTATTTTTTTTTACCCCACTCTTTTAAGCCGGCCGATTTTGCGTCTTAGTGTAAAATGAGGTGTGCTAGTAGTGGGAACATAAAATTCTCTTCTTGTGTATGGTTGAAAGGTTTTTGTCTTTGACAACCAAAGGATGATCAGATACATTCAATTTTACTAAAAAAACTCTCGGAAAATTTCTTCCTTGATAAAAGTTTTCAATTTATCTCCAAAAAACTTTTTAACGAAGTAATAAGCATTTTTTTTACACTTTACATGAGAAAAATTAATAAAATTCTTGGAGAATTCCCGAGATATTTCTACATACCGTGATAATAATATTCATTTGTTAGAAAGAAAATGACAAATGAGCGAAAACTGACCAAAACAAAAACAGTCAAAAAGTTACAGAAAAATCAAAATTTCTAATTAACCATAAACAATAAAAATTATGTGTTGCATATTCCGGGGTTTTAAAATCAAGCAAAAACTTTTATCAAAAATGAGAGATGTAAAATATTTTTTTTTCCTCTTTGTTACGCCATCTGTTGACGTACTGTGTAACGTTTTTACAGCAATATTATTTATTTCAGATTCTGTAACTCCAAGCTAACAGATTAGAGGGAAGTTGCGTAGGAAAAAAAGGTAATTATTTTTTTTTTTCGTCTAATAGATAGTTTTGAGTCTACTTTGCTTACCTCTTACAGATAAAACTATATCTGGGAAGAAAATACGGGCTCGAATATTAAAATTCGCCTTTTGCCCTGGTATAGAACATTTAATGTGTATATCAGTTTCCTACAGCGATACATTTCCTAAGTAAAAATATTGAATGAGTTTTAATTTTTAATTTTTTTTAGGTGTTTTCACTTGGTATTTTTGTTGACATCATTGGATTAAGTCACGGTGAGTTAAAGACTTTCTTGTGGTTTTGATTTTTGAGTTATTGAGTCTTCTTGCTTACCTCATTTGATTTTTTTTATAATCTAGATGAAAATAAGACTCAAAGATAAAATCCATATTTTGCCCTGGTATAAGTACCTCAATATTTACATCAGTTTCCAACATTGGAACATTTCATTGATGTTATTTTTTTGTGTGCCAATACTTTATTTTTATAATTAACACAATTTATTTGTTTGTAGGTATTGATGAAGCCCTTGAGATCAATTGTAGACAAAATGTCTCTTAACATTTATAAAAGGTAGGCTATTTTATTTAATTTAAAAAAATTGTTTTGTTTTTTAAATGATGATTGTTTAATCACAGACCTGTTCTGAGCTCAGAATGAGGACAATAAAAACGGCCAGCTGACTTTACGCTGTTTTTTTATTAATTTTATTTATCCTGATATGTTATTAACGATACTTTTTCCTTGCAGATTTATCAAGACTACATCATTCATGTTAAAGAATAATTTAAACCATAAAAAGGTAAGCAATTTGTAGCAAATAGTAAAATAGTTACACAATTTTTCATGATGAATCCATTACCGCCCCAGTCTGATTTTTCATGACTGATTGGACTTGCTGACATATTCACGTTAATAAAATAATTATCCAATAGTAACATTGCCCTGATTTTTTTTTTATTTTTTTTCAGGTATTGTCAAGTTAAAAAGTACAAAAACCATAACGCAAAAGAGGTTTCTGTACATCAAGGTAAATATATTTTTATTTTAATTTATTATAATTCTAAAATATTAATTGTGATGATTTGATTTACCGCCCCAGTCTGAACTTCATGACTGATTGGTTTTTCTGATTTATTTCAAAAATATTTTTATGCTTTTGCATTTTATGGCAAAATAAATCAATTTTATTTTTTTTTACAGATTAATTTCAATACAATTAATAATGGGTCTGCTAGGGAAACAAAGGTAATTAAATAATAAAATATAACACTCATCACTACAAAAATTTTCTATGATGAGAATCTCTTTTGAGAAGTAATTATTAAAAAATAATTTCGATGTTTGAATTGCCAAAAGGATACTGAAAAATAATTTTTCATAATCGTATTTTTTTCTTGTATAATTTTATTTTTCTTATAAAATTTCATTTTACAGATCCTAAACCGTCCAGGGTTGCCATCCTTCATGCAGCGTTGAAATGGTGGGTGTTTTTCAAATTTTTATTTATTTTTTACCCCACACTTTTAAGCCGGCCGATTTTGCGTCTTAGAGTAAAATGAGGTGTGCTCGTAGTGGGAACATAAAATTCTCTTCTTGTGTATGGTTGCAAGGTTTTTGTCTTTGACAACCAAAGGACGATCAGAAACATTAAATTTTACTAAAAAAAAATCTCGGAAAATTTCTTCCTTGATAAAAGTTTTCAATTTATCGCCAAAAAAACTTTTTAACGAAGTAATAGGCATTTTTTTACACTTCACATGAGAAAAATTAATAACATTATTGGAGAATTCCCGAGATATTTCTACATACCGTGATAATAATATTCATTTGTTGGAAAGAAAATGACAAATGAGCGAAAACTGACCAAAACAAAAACGGTCAAAAAGTTTCAGAAAAATCAACATTTCTAATTTACTATAAACAATAAAAATTATGTGTTGCATATTCCGGGGTTTTAAAATCAAGCAAAAACTTTTATCAAAAATGAGAGATGTAAAATAATTTTTTTCCTCTTTGTTACGCCATCTGTTGACGTACTGTGTAACGTTTTTACAGCAATATTATTCATTTCAGATTCTGAAACTCCAAGGTAACAGATTAGAGGGAAGTTGCGTAGGAAAAAAGGTAATTTTTTTTTTTTCGTTTAATAGATAGTTTTGAGTCTACTTTGCTTACCTCTTACAGATAAAACTATATCTGGGAAGAAAATACAGACTCGAATATTAAAATTCACCTTTTGCCCTGGTATAAAACATTTAATGTGTATATCAGTTTCCTACAGTGATACATTTTATTGATGTTAATTTTTTGGCGTGCCAATACTTTATTTTTATAATTAACATAATTTATTTGTTTGTAGGGATTGATGAAGCCCTTGAGATCAGTTGTAGACAAAATGTCTCATATCATTTATAAAAGGTAGGCTTTTTTATTTAATTTAAAAAAATGGTTTTGTTTTTTAAATGATGATTGTTTAATCACAGACCTGTTCTGAGCTCATAATATGAGGACAATAAAAACGGCCAGCTGACTTTACGTTGTTTTTTTTATTAATTTTATTTATGCTGAATTTGTTATTAATGATACTTTTTCCTTGCAGATTTATCAAGACTACATCATTCATGTTGAAGAATAATTTAAACCATAAAAAGGTAAGCAATTTGTAGCAAATGGCAAAAGTTACACAATTTTTCATGATGAATCCATTACCGCCCCAGTCTGATTTTTCATGACTGATTGGACTTGCTGACATATTCACGTTAATAAAATAAATATTCAATAGTAACATTACCCTTACAATTTTTTTTTTTTTCAGGTATTATCAAGTTAAAAAGTACAAAATCTATAACGCAAAAGAGGTTTCTGTACATCAAGGTAAATATATTTTATTTTAAATTTATTGTAATTCTAAAATAGTAATTGTGATGATTTGATTTACCGCCCCAGTCTGAACTTCATGACTGATTGGTTTTTCTGATTTATTTCAAAAATATTTTTATGCTTTTGCATTTTATGGTAAAATAAATCAATTTTTATTTTTTTTACAGATTATTTTCAATACAATTAATAATGGGTCTGCTAGGGAAACAAAGGTAATTAAATAATAAAATATAACACTCATCACTACAAAAATTTTCTATGATGAGAATCTCTTTTGAGAAGTAATTATTAAAAAATAATTTCGATGTTTGAATTGCCAAAAGGATACTGAAAAATAATTTTTCATAATCGTATTTTTTTCTTGTATTATTTTATTGTTCTTATAAAATTTCATTTTACAGATCCTAAACTGTCCAGGGTTGCCATCCTTCATCCAGCGTTGAAATGGTGAGTGTTTTTCAAATTTTTATTTATTTTTTACCCCACTCTTTTAAGCCGGCCGATTTTGCGTCTTAGTGTAAAATGAGGTGTGCTAGTAGTGGGAACATAAAATTCTCTTCTTGTGTATGGTTGCAAGGTTTTTGTCTTTGACAACCAAAGGACGATCAGAAACATTATTTAATAATAAAAAATGTTTTCAAAATTAACGCAGAATTTTTTTTACAGGTCTTTATGTGGATCCTTTGCTCGCAAATTGGGTAAGTATTATAAAATTAAAAATAATGTATTTTTATTAAAGGTACAAATAAAGACTATTCTTTCATAAAACTGATTTTATTTCATAACAATACACATAATAAAGGGTATATATCTTAAAATTAAAATATTATATACAAAAAATAGGTTTGTATCATGGCAGAAGCAATGTTAAGGTAAGTACTAAAATAATTAATTCTGAATTTCTGGTAGTTTATTTCTATAAAGATTAACTAAAGTTTTAGCTGCTAAAAGCAAAGTTTCCTTCTTTGATAAACCAGATATTTCTTGTTGCCATCCGTTTTTGTTCTAAGTAAAATATTTTGTTTACATTTGTTTGAAATAAATGAACATAATAAATCTTACCTTGAGGTATTTTGCCAATTTTTGTGATACTTCTAAAGTTTTGTATTGAGATCCAGCAGTTTCAATTTCTTTTAAAATTGCATTTAGCGGTATTGGAGTTGCTTGAGAAAACGTTTTTACAGAAATATTTCTGTCATTATCCCTTAACATCAGTATATTTAAATCATACCAGCTAAAAAAAAATCACAATAAATTTTTTTTCTTTTAATATAATTAAACGTTACTCATTATTATCCTGCAATAAAACGCTTTCAATAGCTATGGTTGGGGTGTTTCTGAATTTTAGGGAATATTCGATTTTTTCGTTGGCTTCGTTCCATCCTTGATCAAGTCCAATTGGTAAAAATTCCTTAAGGGGCATGTCCAATTTTATTCCACTGTAATTATGAAATATCTCTTAATTTAATATTTTTTACAAAAAATACAAATCGGTGAATCTCACGAAATGTCCCCCGATGGTGGTTTAAAAGTCTAAAACCTATCCTCCGTGACTGTCACTCTTTCTAGGTTAACCTATATGTTTTCAAATATCTGAGGTAGTAAAAGCATACTAAAAATATCAGTTCACTAAGTAAATTAAACACATCCAAAGCAATCGAATCAAATATAAAATATTATTAAAAATTAAAAGAAACTTTTCTATCCTCCGTGAATCTGTTTTGGCTTTAAATTTTATGCAACGGATGGCGCTTTAATCATTTTAAATAAGCAAAATCCTCTGTTTAATTTCATTAATTTGCTATTTAAAAACCTATCCACCGTGAAGTGTAATATCTCAGTAAGTAGATTTTTTTTATAAATATTTTATGTATGTACAATTGTATTTTTAAAAAATATTAAGGTGTCAAAAGATACTATAACTTATTTCAAATATACAAACATACGAAATCCTAACCTCCGTGAAGCTATAATATTCAACAACCAAAAATAATCAATTTCACTTGGGGGACATCTCAATATATTCACCCAAATTCGCTTAGTATATAACGTTAAAAAAATTCATTACTTGACCCAAGCTTTGCCAAAAACGGAATGAAAAGCTTCCCTAACAGCCCCCACTTCATCCTCCAAATCGCTGATAACCGTTATCTCAGTATCCCCACCCGAATCTAAAATAAATAACAACAAAAATTTAATTTAATTGGTGAATGTAAAATTTCATTTTACAAATATATTCACTCATTTGCGGGTCCAATGTCGTTATAATCGAATCCACGGAGTTTTTGGCTTTCTCCGCCATTTTCGACAAAACCCCACCGCTGGAAAAGGCCTCTTTAACCAGCCCCATAAAACCGCCCCCCAAATAATCATATTCGGGGGATTCTGCTATCGGAATGGGGCCCTGTGGTATACCTTTGCTTGGCGGTATCGCAGCACTACAAAATTTAATGTGCCGATTACAACAAACTGCAAAATTAATTTTTACCTAAACTGAGTAGAGGGAAATTGGCTGGAAGCCGAAGGTAGAGGCCTGATGTCCAAACTCGTCGGTTGTGTTGTAGCAACCCTAAAAATCAATAACAATACTTCCAACACAACTGAAAAAATTATCAACAACTAAAAATGTACCCAATCGGTGCTGTTGAAACTTGTGATGGTGGTTTAACATCTCCAGAAGACTGCGGTTGACTTGTTATGTTCTGAGGGGCATCTTTAACAACCATCGGCCAATATTCTGGCAATGCAGTTGGGGGCGGTACATTTGCCAACAAATTCCCGCCACTGCCAGCCTTTACTAGACTCGGAGAAGGTATGGAATATGAAGATGAAATGCTGCTGCCAGAATCTGGGGCAACATTTATACATGTTATAACCTGTTATTTTTATTACAGTTTAAACTAAAAAAATAGGTACTCATCCTTAGACGTTTTCAGAATATATTTGGATATTTTGAAGAGATTAGAGACATTTTAGATTATTCTTAGACAGTCGATTATTTTTAGAAAATTTTAGGTAATTTTTAGACAATTTTAAAATATATTTAGACATTTTTAACACCACAAATAATTTAGGGCATTTTAGTATATAATAAAACATTTTTACGACACCAGCATTAAAAATCACGTTTAAACAATGTTGTTTGAATTAAAATCAATTAAATTATTAATAATGTATTGCTTCACTTTATTGACCAATAAATAGCTTTAATTAATTACCTGTTGTCTCTCCTTTAATACACAATTCCTCGGACTTCTTGTCAATTATTTCAAATGAATTTTCACCGTTCGAATCTTCTTGCATCATTTTAATTATTTATTAATTTCAATTTTTGTAAACACAATATTTTGACATAAGGAAGGATTCGTGGCGGACTAGTTCGTTTTGGGTTTCTATGTTGGCAGCATTTGTATTTAATTTTGATTGGTTGCGACGTTGCCGGGTTTCTTTTTCTTTAAATGTAATTTTGATCCCCCTATTCTGTTTATATAAGTTATTTATTGGTATAGTTTGTTCTGTGATTAGAATTGCAAACGTGGTTTTTAATTTTTGTTGATAAATATATCGGTTTAAGATATTCTGGTTTTATGGTAGGCAGAATGAACACTATTGACAGTTTCATAACCTGACTTTTGTAACGTGGTTTTCATGTATTTTTTGAGTTAAAAAATGGGTGAAGCAGACAGTGCTTCGTTGGACAAGAAGAAATCTCACAGAGATAGACATTCAGGTGATTATTTTTACTTATTTCAAATATGATATTCATTAATGTGATATTTTATTTGTAGGTAGAAAAGCTGAAAAGAAAAAAGACAAGAAAAATGCCAGAAACCCTGTGGAAGAGCTTTCCGACAGAAAGAGAAACCCCAAAGCGTTCGCCATTAATTCCGCTGTCAGTGCGGAGCGAAAATTCCGAAGAAAACAAGACATCGACACTAAAAAGCAACACATACCTTTGGTGGATCGTACGCCCATCGAACCGCCACCCATTTTGATTGCCGTAGTGGGGCCCCCAAAAGTGGGCAAAACCACGGTGATAAACAATTTGATTCGGTTGTTTACGAGGTCTCCTTTAACGGAAATAAAGGGCCCAGTTACGATTGTAACAGGCAAAAAGCGTAGGATAACTCTCATAGAATGCAACAATGATGTTAATTCCATGATCGATTTGGCTAAAGTGGCCGATTTGGTGCTTTTACTCTGCGACGCCAGTTTTGGGTTTGAAATGGAGATTTTCGAGTTTTTGAATATTTGTCAGGTGCATGGTATGCCGAGGATTATGGGCATATTAACGCATTTGGATATGATTAAGAATAGTAAAGCCTTAAAATTGAAAAAAAAGACTCTTAAGCATAGATTTTGGACGGAGGTTTACGCGGGCGCCAAATTGTTTTATTTATCCGGTATTGTGCATGGGGAGTATTTGAGAAACGAAATCAAAAATTTGGGGAGGTTTATTTCGGTTATGAAGTTTCGCCCTTTGACGTGGAGGACCACTCACAGCTATTTACTCGGAGATAGGTATGAGGATTTGACCAATCAGGAAGTCATTCGCAAGAACCCCAATTGCGACCGAAATATATCGCTTTACGGGTACATAAGGGGGGTTCCAATCAAAAAGGAGTCATCGGTGCATATACCGGGGCTGGGGGATTTAAAAATCCGCGACATTTCGTATCTACCGGACCCGTGCCCTCTACCGGATCAAATCAAAAAACGCGCCTTAGTAGAGAAGGAGAAACTCATATACGCGCCGTTTTCAGGGGTGGGGGGTATAGTCTACGACAAAGATGCAGTCTACGTGGAATTAGGGGGATCCCACAGCCACAATAAAAAAGACGAAGAAGACGAGTCCACGAACATAGTCGCGAATTTGATTGACGTTAAGGAAACTTTAGACCTAAAAATGCAACGCTCGGAGATGCAGCTGTTCAGTGGCGGTCAAAAGTTGACCTCCAAAGATTGGGGGGAGGATAAAGACGACGTCGCGACGGAAATGTTCGGGAAGGGGGAGGAAAAAACGGCCTCGGACGATCTCAGCGAAGAGTTATCGCGGTTGAGGAAGAACGAGATAATTGAAGACGGCGGAAGAATCAGAAGAAGAGTTGTCTTCGATGTGGACGACGAAGAATTTTCGAAGAATATTGATGATGAATCAGATGACGATTCTTCGGATGATGAAAAAACCGCTGAATACGTAACGCTAAAAGAGAACAAAGATAAAGGCGTTCACTCGAAGATAGCAGATGTTCTGCAGAAATTAGACGAGAGGAAAATTGTTTTCGACACTTTTGAAGAAGAAGAAGACCAATCGTCGGACGAATCATACGATGAAGATGAAGACTCAGATGATGATGATGGGGATTTGAAGTGGAAAGACAATTTGGCGGAAAAAGCGAAAGACAACTTTCTCGACAGACAGAGCTCGAATAAGAATCTAATGAGGCTTGTTTACGGCGTTTTCGATGCCAAACACAATAAACAACAAGATGCAGCGGAATCGGAAGACGATGAGGAAATTGGCGGTCTTTTCAAGAAGGTATCAAAGGAGCAGGAAAAAATCAGAACCGATAAAGAAAGCATGGATTTAGTGGAGTCTCCACTAAGCTTACCGTGGAACTCTAACGTACAAAACTGGTTGGAGGACGAAAACAAAGCTCTCATTGTGAACTGTTTTGTCACTGGTAAATGGAAAGATTCAGAGGATGCCGGCATGCTTTTAAAACTGGACGACACCGAAGATTTGAGCGACGTGGACTCGGAAGTGTTTGGAGACTTCGAAGATCTGGAAACTGGAGAGAAACACGTTTCAAATAATAATAAACGCAAAAGAGACGAAAATGAAAAGGACGAGTTGGCGGATAGAGCCGCCCTAGTCGAGAAAAAACGCAAACTGAAGGAGAAATTCGACTCGGAATACGACAACACGGAAAAAACTAGTTACTACGACGATTTAAAGATGTCGGCGGAAAAACAAGCGCAACTCAACAAAACGGTGTTCGAAAATATGCCTGATGACGTCAGGGTTCAAATAGAAGGTTTCAGGCCCGGTATGTACGTCAGGGTTGAGTTTGAAGATGTTCCCGCCGAGTTTATTAAGTACTTCGACCCCACCTACCCTCTCGTAATAGGCTCCCTCAACATGGGCGAGGAGAACATAGGCTACGTCAACGTTAAAATCAAAAAACATAGGTGGTACAAAAAGATTCTAAAAACCAGCGACCCGTTGATCATCTCGTTGGGGTGGAGGCGCTTCCAGACGGTTCCTTTGTACTCCAAATTGGAGGACGACTTGAAATTTCGGTACTTAAAATACACACCGGAGCACTTATCGTGCAACGCGCACTTTTGGGGGCCCATAACCCCGCAGGGGACCGGTTTTTTGGCTTTGCAGGTGGTAAACCAAAGCGCCGAAGCTTTAAAAGTCCAAGGGTTCAGAATAGCGGCCACCGGTTCGGTGCAAGAGCTCGACAAGTCCACGCAGATCATGAAAAAGTTAAAACTCGTCGGTTACCCGATGAAAATATACAAGAAAACCGCTTTCGTTAAAGGGATGTTCAACTCCTCCTTGGAGGTGGCCAAATTCGAAGGAGCCCGAGTGAAAACCGTATCCGGCATAAGAGGACAAATAAAAAAGGCCGTCGGAAAGCCCGAGGGCTGTTTCAGAGCCACTTTCGAAGACAAAATCCAACTGAGCGACATCGTGTTCTGTCGGACGTGGTACAAAGTGGACGTCCCGGAATTCTACAACCCTGTAACCACGCTTTTATTACCTCTAGGAGAGAAAAACGCTTGGAGAGGCGTAAGAACAACCGGGGAAATCAAACGCGAGAAGAACATCAGGAACCCCGCCGATAAGGACAGTTTGTACACCCCTGTGATCAGGGAAGAGAAACCACTGAAGCCGCTGGTGATACCCGCCAAGTTGCAGAAGGCTCTCCCGTACAGGGACAAGCCAAAGCACGGCGTTAAGGAGGAGGAAAGGAAGAAATCCATGGAGAGGGTGGCTGTGATAAGGGAACCCTACGAACAGAAGATCGCGAAGATGATGAAGATGATCAAGGCTTCCTACGAGAATAAGCAGGAGAAGTTGAAGAAGGAAACCAAGGAGCGACTGGAGAGGCACAAGATGCAGATAGAGGGCGTAGAAGCGGACAAAATGAAGAAGCTGAAAGAGAAGAAGAAGGAGGTGTTCAGGAAGAAGAGTAAAGCGGCAATAATCCAGGAAAAAAAGGGCACCAAACATTAGTTATGTTAAATATAATGCTATAATTTTTATTGTTGTGTTTTTCTTCTTTCCCCGTAAACAAAGGTAAAGAAAGTAAAACGATCGTTATACTAACAAATATATTATTATCGTTATAAAAGGTACAACATTTCAACATAAACATCTGATAAATAAATCGCTAAAGGAATAAAATACGATATTATATACACAATCATTTTGAAATACATACGCGTATTGTCAAGGGATTAAAATGTTAGCAAACGGTCGACAAAATCGGGGAATCGTCACTGGTCCAGTGTAATACTGACTGCTGACTTACTAAAGCCCACACGTATGGAATAAAAAACTCCTCTGGTTGATCCTCCTCGACGTATTTAAATTTAAGATCGGGGAATTTCTGAAAGTTAAAATCAAAACACTTGTTGATTTTGGTATGAGACGACTTACGGTTAATTTTTCTTTTGGCCAATTTTTGGCGCCCTGCTGAATGACTTGGAGTACTTGGGTGGCATCAACTTGGTGCTGGTCGGTTTTGTTATCGAGAATTTCGGAAAAATATTTTATAATTATTTGTATATTGTGGATTATATCCTGAAAAACCACGTTGTCTTTGAACGCTTCAAAGACATGCTTGTTGTAGAGTAACGTGTAAATGAGGTTTGGATTATTGCTCAACTGAAAACTCAAACAGGAGTTCAGTATCTCCAAAACCATTCTCATTACTTCCTCTAAGACAGCGATATCTTGTTCCATATCTGCCGATTCCTGATTTACAGTAACCGTAACTTCATTCTCTCTTTCCTCCGTAAAATGCCTGGTCAGTCTCTGGTACTTCCTGGCTATGGTTTCGAACAGCGATACCAACCTCTGACTCACGTAGGGATGCAAATCCCTAAACTGAGCTGACATGTTGGCCAAAGCCGCCAAACAGTTTGTGTGTAGGTATTTGTCGCGCATTTTCAGCATGTTGTACTGCACTGTTCTTATTACCACAAGAATTAGCAGCCCCCCCAGCGAAACCTCCGATAGGGTTCTTTCGCTGTACCAAGCCACATTTTTAAGTTTCTATAACAATTTTTTTGTAAAAAAAAAAATTTGTAAAAAAAATTTTTTTTTTAATCTTACCGTTTGATGTACACTTTTGTTGAAAGTCTCATCTTCACTAAGTATAAGTAAAATGATGAGTGACATGTAGATGTGGTGTGAATTGCTGTTAGGTGCATTATATAAGGTCTTTAATATTGGAACAATCTGAAATGTTATAATTATAATTTTAAACGTAAAATTGTTTAAATTATTTTACCAATGATTCCAAGTCGAATCTCCCCAATAAAAAAGTCTTGAATGATGCATTTCTGTGTAGTAATAGATACAATAGTAATGTAGCAGCATCACCGGATGCTTTTTTACAAAGAGTGGAATAAAGTAAATTATAATCTATTTTAAATAAGGTACCAGATTCAGTTGGTTGGGTTGGATTATTGTCTAAAAAGTAACGAAAATTCGATTTGGCAAAACAATTTTTTTTCTAAATTCTAAAGACTAAAAATAATTTATAATAACCTTTATCCTACCAAAACGTACGCCACTGATCGACTAGGAACTTTAGGCTAATCTGGTTGCCTAATTTAATTTATTATGTTATGGTTGGTAACAACGAGCGTTTTCAGATTCTGTCAAAAAAGTTGCCAAATTTTGTTTAAATTTCGCTTAATTACAAAAATTAATAAATTGTCTTTTTTTTAATTTTTCGTTCTTTTATGTTCTTTCAAAAAACTGACAAATTTTATAGAATTTGACATATAAAAATTTGTTTGTATTTTTTCTGCAAAGTACAAAAGAAAAAAAAAGAACCATATAGTCAATTTTTTAAAAAGTTGTGAAGATTTGAAAGAAAGCTATTTTTATATTTTTGTTGTAATTTTTAGTTTCTTTTTTTACATTTTTGTGCATTTTTATAAGTCTTTATAAGTCATTTTTTAATAAATTGTCTAAATGGGACGTTTTTTTTAATTTTTCGTTCTTTAATGTTCTTTTTTATAAAAACTGACAAATTTTATAGAATTTGACATATAAAAATTTGTTTGTATTTTTTCTGAAAAGTACAAAAGAAAAAAAAATTAAAAAAAAGAACCATTTAGTCAATTTTTAAAAAAGTTATGAGGATTTGAAAGAAAGCTATTTTTATATTTTTGTTGTAATTTTTAGTTTCTTTTTTTACATTTTTGTGCATTTTTATAAGTCTTACATTTTTAATAAATTCACTAAATGGAAATTTTTTTTAAATTTTTTCGTTCTTTAATGTTCTTTTTTTTAAAAACGAACAAATTTATTTATAAAATTTGACATACAAAAATTTGTATGTATTTTTTTCTGAAAAGTACAAAAGAAAAAAAATTAAAAGAAAGAACCATTTAGTCAATTTTTAAAAAAGTTATGAGGATTTGAAAGAAAGCTATTTTTATATTTTTGTTGTAATTTTTTGTTTCGTTTTTAACATTTTTGTGCATTTTTATAAGTCTTAAATTTTTAATAAATTGACTAAATGGGACATTTTTTTTTAACTTTTCGTTCTTTAATGTTCTTTTTTTAAAAAACTGACAAATTTTATAGAATTTGACATATAAAATTTGTATGTATTTTTTTCTGAAAAGTACAAAAGAAATAAAATTAAAAGAAAGAACCATTTAGTCAATTTTTAAAAAAGTTATGAGGATTTGAAAGAAAGCTATTTTTATATTTTTGTTGTAATTTTTAGTTTCTTTTTTTACATTTTTGTGCATTTTTAATAAATTGACTAAATGGGACGATTTCTTTTAAATTTTCGTCCTTTAATGTTCTTTTTTCAAAAAAGGACAAATTTTATAGAATTTGACATAGGTATAAAAATTTGTTTGTATTTTTTTCTGAAAAGTATCTACAAAAGAAAAAAAATTTAAAAAAAGAACCATTTAGACAATTTTTAAAAAAGTTATGAGGATTTGAAAGAAAGCTATTTTTATATTTTTGTTGTAATTTTTAGTTTCTTTTTTTACATTTTTGTGCATTTTTAATAAATTGACTAAATGGGACGATTTCTTTTAAATTTTCGTCCTTTAATGTTCTACAAAAGAAAAAAAATTTAAAAAAAGAACCATTTAGACAATTTTTAAAAAAGTTATGAGGATTTGAAAGAAAGCTATTTTTATATTTTTGTTGTAATTTTTAGTTTTTTTTTTTACATTTTTGTGCATTTTTAATAAATTGACTAAATGGGACGATTTCTTTTAAATTTTCGTCCTTTAATGTTCTTTTTTCAAAAAAGGACAAATTTTATAGAATTTGACATAGGTATAAAAATTTGTTTGTATTTTTTCTGAAAAGTACCTACAAAAGAAAAAAAAATTAAAAAAAGAACCATTTAGACAATTTTTAAAAAAGTTATGAGGATTTGAAAGAAAGCTATTTTTATATTTTTGTTGTAATTTTTAGTTTCTTTTTTTACATTTTTGTGCATTTTTAATAAATTGACTAAATGGGACGATTTCTTTTAAATTTTCGTCCTTTAATGTTCTTTTTTCAAAAAAGGACAAATTTTATAGAATTTGACATAGGTATAAAAATTTGTTTAAATTTTTTTCTGAAAAGTACCTACAAAAGAAAAAAAAAATTAAAAAAGAACCATTTAGACAATTTTTAAAAAAGTTATGAGGATTTGAGAGAAAGCTATTTTTATATTTTTGTTGTAATTTTTAGTTTATTTTTTTACATTTTTGTGCATTTTTATAAGTCTTACATTTTTAATAAATTGAGTAAATGGGACGTTATTTTTCAATTTTTCGTTCTTTAATGTTTTTTTCAAAAAAACTGACAAATTTTAAAGAGATTGACATATACAAATTTTTATGTATTTTTTTCTGAAAAGTGCAAAAGAAAAAAAAATTAAAAGAAAGAACCATTTAGTCAAAAAAGTTATGAGGATTTGAAAGAAAGCTATTTTTATATTTTTGTTGTAATTTTTTGCAATTTTAAATTTTTAAAACCTCAACAAAAAGTGTTCTTGTTTTAATTCCATATTTAAAAATATCCCATAAAAAAGTTTTCTTAATTTTCAAAAATTCTAATATATAAATATATATTTGATAAAATTTGCATTTTTATGAATTATAATTTTTTAACAATCGCAAATTTCAAACAAATATAAAGAAAAATTCTATTCTTTATAGATAAAATTAGTCAGGAATTTTTTTGGGCTATAAATTAATAAATCACATCATATGATGCAAGAGTGTAAATATTAATATAAAATTTATTATCCTTGGAAAAAACTTACCTAAACTATTGACACAAGAAAACAGACTAATTCTATATGGGTTGGACTGTGTTGTCCAGTGATGCACTAAAACTAAAATAAGTAGGAGACTATGTGTGGCCAATGGAGACTGCTGATAATCGGTAAACTCGGGCACAACCAAATCCTCGCTGTTTTTTTTGCCACTGAAAGTCAACATCGACCACAACTCCGTAGCCAAACCCAGAACAAGACTTTGCCCCTGATTGTTAGCATACACGGCAGGGACGTGTTCTTGGCTGATAAAATTGCTCAGCAAGCTTTTGATTAAGATCGGAGCGTGTATTACATGCTTCCCTTTCATTATTAGACGATAAATGCTGCTCTGATCTGATCGGCTGCCCGAGTGGTACTGAACAGACAGAAATATCAACAAACACGTTACAGCCTCCAAGTGCACCGAGTAGGTGGAATCTTTCACCGGTACATCCACGATAATGCCCACCAGAGCCCCGATTAGAGCCTCCAAAACGTTTTCGTTCCCTTTACCCTCTATGTGCTCTATCACTTGCTCTTCCGATAGGGTTTCAGTGAGAAACTTTAGGATGCACCTTATCGTGAATAAAGTGTTGAAAACTTGCCAGCTGAATAATATTCTGCAACACATGTCTAAAATATGATCGTTTACAGCAAATAAAATACTCACGCGTCCGAATCAGTGGCGGTTAACAGTTCAGATGATTTACTTAGAAATAACTGTATTAATGTGTGAAGATTCCCAGAGGATAAATTGTTCTGAACCAGCTCTTGGCATAAAACCTCGATTCTTGATTCAAGAACTAGTTGGTCGTTTCTAAAATTTTCATGTTTTGTTGTGTTCTTGCAGGATAAAATAACTTACGTTGTGGTGGGTGGGGTGATATTGAAAGCCAAAAATCTGTTCCAAAAAGGATCGTTCAATTTAATTCCATCTTTTCCGACGAACTTTAATATGTACTCGTTCGTGGATAAATCCAAGTCTCTGCTGACTGAGGCGCCCATAATTGAGAGTTGCTGTTTTTTCAACTCGTTTGCATTTATTTTAATTTAGGCTGCTAATTTGCGTGGGTTTTCGTTTGGTAGCCCATTTTCGAAAAATTTATCTACGTACACATAACCTCTACCTGTCAAATGACATCAACAACCAGTGCTGACAACCTATTTTTAGTATGAAAAAAAGGTATTTATGTAAATGTGTAATTTGATTTTATTATGTTGGTATTGTATGTTAATAACTGAATAAAAAAAGGCTAATCAACTTTGGTATTTTTAATATTTTGACATTTAACTGTCAAAATTAGAATAAACATACATGTGTATTTGTAAGCTGGAAATGCAAATTTGCCTCTTTTGGGCCGTAAAGTCACCTATATTTATCAAAGGTAAAGTTATTGAACTTTTTAACAACTTATATTTGACATTTCAAAATTTTTTAAACATATTATTCTCCACTAAACTATTTAGTTTGATTTACTCATTGTAGCCAATTATAAATTTTGGGTCCCTAGAATTTGATAAACTAACGTCAAATTCCGAATTAAAAAAATGACCTGTACGTGTACTGTGCTATAATCAGAGATAAAAAGGCTATAATTATAATAATAATAATAATAATAGGTTGAAAATGAAAGAAATAATTATTAATATCTCCACGGATTATTCCTTTTTCCCTTTGGGGTAATAAAATTCCCAAAAAGATATTTTCCTGCACTCAACAGAAAAGTCCCTAGATTTTTAAGGCGGTAAATTTTAAACGTAGATACTTATCTGTATGGATTTCGCTTAAAAAGTGTGGTGTATCTTCATCTATGGTGATTTTTTCACACTTCATCACTGCACTGCTTAATGTGATGGAATTTAAACAAAATGTTGGTTTTAACATTTTATTGACATGTAATATAAATTAAAAATTAATCTACTATATATTTAAGTATAAAACTTGAAACACGTTCACCACCTGAAGTGATTGAGTGAGGAGAAATAAATAAATGTTAAATCTAATGTAATTTTCTTATAAATATATTTAAATTGTATTACAACAAAATACATAACAAGTAAAAATATGTACAAATTTCAGCGCACAAAGTAATTATTAATGGAGTTTTTTCGGCAGTAAACGTGTAAAAATAATAAAAAAGTTAACTAAAATACATCTTTTAAATATATTGAAATTTTTCTTTTATCCCATTTATGATTGCCTTTCCCGAACAACGTACTTAAACATTCCAATTGTTTCTGTATTTACATGTTATTCATATTCTACATATTTTTTTTATTAATATTTAATCATAGAATTTGCAAGTAAGCAATATTACAATTTTGCTTGTTTAAAGCATAGGTAGATATTGCTGTACTAGGTTATATACATTATAGTTTAAATAAAAAAAACTAAACATTAAAATCCGTAATAAATAAACAGAATAACAGTAAAAATAATATGCACCTAACACACTCATGTTCTTTTTTGTTTGGGATATATTTTTACTAATTGTACTCTTGCTGTAAAAGAAAATTAGTAAAAACATTACAAAACTTTTTTTGGTTCATTAGTAATTCACGTCTAACTAACTAATTTTAATTTATTCAAATCACAAAAAATATATAATTTCTCCTCTATAGTTTAAAAAATATATACTTGGGGCTCCTTTAAATTTACTATGTGTAGTAGTATACTTAAGTCAGATCCAAGATTTCAGTCAATTGGATCCGCAAAACACATTATTATCATTATAATAATAAATTAACATTAAAAAAATACAAAATAAACTCGTTGCGATTCTCCAGAAATTTTATTCTTTTTTTGTATCGACATAAAACAAGCAAAAAAGCATACAAACGCACACAAAGAACATAAAATTTTCACTTGTAGTTTTGCATGAACCAATCAAATGCATAAGCCGGTTTATGCAAAAAAGATCAACAAAGTTGGCGAGTCTAAATATATTCCGATCAAATGAAGCAAAAGAACAAAATCGCTGAAAAAACTCAACCGCAGTCGTGGTAGCTTATTTTATTGCTTTAAAATATGCTCTGCAATGGGTGGAGCGAAATTTTTTTTCCTTAGCCTGGGGATGGAATTTGTAGCCTACAAAAAAAAATTTTTGAAAAAAAAAAAAATTACCCAACGTTTTGAGGTGGCCCACTGATTTTTTAAATTAAATTTAAGTTAAAATTTTTTTGGCTTGTAATCTTCAAATTTATCTAAAAATAAACAAATTTGATCGTGTTCAACTCGAAATTCGCTCTATTGCCTCAGAAAAGCATGTTACTATTTTGTAATTTTTTTAAAAACAACATAACTGTTAATTAGCAAGAAAGAGGACACTCCGCAGTTTCCGGAACACTTTTGAAATTTTTTTTTTATTCAAAAGAATTTTAACTTAAATTTAATTTAAAAAATCAGTGGGCCACCTCAAGACGTTGAGAAAAAATTTTTTTTTTCAAAAATTTTCTTTTTATATAGGCTACAAATTCCACCCCCAGGCTAAGGAAAAAAAATTTTTTTTTTCGCTCCACCCTACTCTGCATTTGGGGGGGGGATAATGGCTCTAATGCAAAGCGGGATATTTTTTCCATCCGCGTCAATATCATTGAAAAAAATCCATACGGTTGTCTTGTGTTTAACGTAGAAAATATATACCCGTAATATTAATTTGGAACACAAGAAAACTTATCTTTACTCTACTGGTTTGGCGTTAAGAAAAGTGCATAGAACCATTATATTTTAAAAATCCTAATCATTCACACCTTGTTATTTATGAAGTCCTACAGGATGCAAATAATGTCACTCATCCGAAATTTCAGTAAGATCACAATTTTAATAGGTAACCTAAACTTTATACACTATTTACAAGTATTAATTTTCAAAAAAATCCTAATTTTTAGTTTATGAGTGTTTGCAGGAAAACTAACAATAAAAAAAAATCGAGTTCGCATCTGTGGCGCCCTCTGTCAAAAAATGCTGCGAAAAGTGTTTTTATGTAGACGATCCCTTGCTGATATACTTAGAATCGGCCAACTTGTCGCCATCACCCATTTGCGTAACCTGTAAAGCACCAATAACCTTAAAAACGACCGAGCGACCAAACACTACATCACACAAAAGCATTTTTTTTAATTTGGCAACTGTAAAACAAGCTTCCGTTTTCGATACTTTTTTTTCGTCGATAATAATTACTGTTCACCTATTTATTATTTTATTAAAAATATTAAACTAAAACCTCCATGCATTACCTGGTTACTTTAAGTATATCTACAAAATTCATTACATTAAGTAAGTGGCAAATTTAAAGCTTTAAATTAGTCGATTTAACTAACTACTTAATGTTGAGCATGCCTTAAGTTTTGTTAAATTATTTTAAAATATACAAGATCTCCCTAAAATGCCTGTAAAAAATATTAAATAAAACCGAAAACGAACTTATATTTTATTTTTTACATTTTTTCAGAAAATATTGGTAAATACAAAAAAGCCTAAAACTTTCTTGCTATTAGGTTTGCAGAAATGGGGGTGGAATTTTCGGAATCTTAAAACATTGTTTAAAATATTCCACGTCAAGTTCTTAACATACCGGGTGTTACATTTAAAAATAAAAAAGTTATTAACGTTTTAAGTTAGCCCAATTTGTTGAAAAATGTTAAAGAATTGACATGGAATTTTTTAAACAATGTTTTAAGATTCCATACATTTTACCCCCATATCCGTAAACCTAATAGCAAACATCTAGAAAACTATTCACTTTAGGTATAGGACATGGTATAGTAATTTTACTAAGAATTTTATGTAGAATTAAAAAATGTAAAAATATACGGGATGTTCTTTTTGAAATAACAAAGTTGATGTCACTTCCGGTCAAACCGGAAGTTGCATTTTGTTTAAAATATTAAAAAAATAGACTTAATGGATTATAAACGTTTTTAAATTTCAAATCTATTTTTTCCGTTCTCCAGAAACTTCCAATGGACCACGAATGTAAAACACCCTGTATATAAAGTGGTGTTTTTAAGTTGTGATACCACTATAGATTAGAAAGCAATGTATAATCGTCAAACTAAAAGATCAAGATTTGTTTCCAACATATATTTAATATAAGATAAATACAAATCTGTTGTTTTATTAAAAAAAAAATCAAAAATTAAAACCAAAAATATTTTTTTTACTTAAAAAAATAAAATTGTTATTTTCTTTAAGTATAATTTTTGTATTATGTAAAAACAAAATATTTTAAGAAAAAAAAATGATTCATAACAAAATAGAGAATTAAAAATCTGTTTAGGTTTAAATAAGAATGGCTGTGTAAAAAAAATAAATGACGTGATTTCGTGAAACGGGTACGCTTTTTTAACCTTTATTTTTTAAATCTGTTAAAATTTTTCATGGGAGGAAAATCGTGCTGTACTGTGTTATTATAATAATAGTTGGATTCAATAGATTTTTCTTTTTTGTTAATCAATATTATCTGAAATAAAGTAAAAAATTATATATACAGGCATTTAAGGGACACCTTGAAAAATTCAGTATATTTTAAAATTTAGGATGTTGTTTTAATCAAAATGAATTCCTTCGATATTTTTTATTATTTTAACAATAAATATACATTTAATCTTATTGTCGATTCGCGTTTGTGGAAAGAAGTCAACCCTCAAGCTAGTTTTAAAAAATTCACCACCTTTAAACCTAAAACACACAACATTTTATTTTAATTTCCTACTTCCCTTGAGCTAATGTGCGGCGATTTTCAAGTGACTTAGGGAAATAAGTTGCCGAAATTTAAAAAAATATACGTTTATTTATAATGATATAAATTGTGTAGCTAAGCCTGTACATTTAAATAGGTACACAAAAAAAGAGAACAGATCATGCTGCAAACATAAACAAAAATAGACTTTTGAACATGCAACTACTTGTGTATAAAAATATATGGTTATATGCTGTAGAGTGTGTTAGGCAAAGTTCCATGTTTCAAGGTGCTTAAAAACTACTACAAAATATATAAAAATATAAGTTTCTATATATTAAATTTTTAGAAGTCAACACTATAATAAAAGTCTAAATAAAAAAGGTCTAATTCTAATAACAATAAGTGCTAATAATATAAAAAAGATTTCTTCTACTACACAGGTACAAAACAAATCATTTACTATGACAACTTGGTAAGTTAAATTCAATTCATTAAATTCATAACAGTTATACAAAAAATTAGTTATATCATAATAGTGGTTGAGATAAATGCTGTACAAAGTAATGATACAATCATATCATTGTTAATAACAACATAAACTAAATACTTCCTAATTGCAAATGGAATTATGTGCTTGGAGAAAAGCTTGTTTGATCTGTTTTATGAGCTTTAGGAGATCCAACAATTATTTTTCGCGTGCCCTGACTAGAAATCACCATTACATGCAAATATTGTTTTTTAATTTTTTATAACTTCGTTTTTCCAATAACTAAATAAAAGTTACATAACTTAAGTAAAAAGTTACATAAATTCCATGGTTTATATAATATAGCAAGGGTACTAAATTTTCAGTCAAAATTTATGTTGGCCTAAAAATGAGACGTATTTTTTTTATTAAAAGTTGCGAATTGCAATTTTTATAACAATATGCACGATTAACCAAAATCCTGGTCACGGCACCAACCAGCTAACTCGATATATAAAATTAAATAGGCGTGTATAATTGGTTGCCTATATTAGTACTAGTTTTCGAGGACAAGTCAACACAATTGTTTGTTTTAAAATTATAGTGCAAACAGATTTTTTTATAAAATAATCTGTATTTTCACTTAACCCATTAACGCTCATTGTACTCGCTTGAGTACACTTAAAAATACTAAATTTTGACATTTTTAAAATTTACATGTACCTACCAAATTATACAAATCTTTGTGAAGTTATTGATAACCATCAACAATTATTAATATTTGGAATTTGTTGTGTTGAATGCTTTGGGCACATAATAATTTTAAAAACTGAAAATAACATGTTTATATTTTTTATATTGTTTATTTGGACAATAAGAGTAAATAAAGGTTATTTTATTTAAAGAAATGTAAAAATAAACAATTGTGTTCTAGCACAAATATAGGCAACCCAGTACACACGTCTATTTAATTTTAAATATTGCTTGGGTTGGCAGATTGGTTCCGTGACCAGGATATTTTTTTTATTTCTAAATTTTAGTGTATATACATTTTTTAAATAAAATAATCTGTATTTACAGTTAATGTAAAAATAAACAGCATTTTATTTTCGTTTTCAAAGTCCTAGTTTTAGAAAACAAGTCAAAACAATTGTAAGTTTTTAAATTATGGTGTAAATACATTTTTAATAAAATAATCTGTATTTACACTAAATCTAAAAATACAAAAATTTGACATGTTTTTGCAGTTTTCAAAATTTATATGTACTTACCAAATTATACAGAAAATTAAATCAAGTTTTAAAGTAGTTAAATATTCTTTGTGAAATTATTGATAACCATCAACAATTATAAATATTTTAAAAAATATTTGGAATTTGTATTTTGAATGCTGAGTACATAACAATTTTTAAAACTGGAAATAACATGTTTATATTTTGTTTATCGTTTAGTTTTACTATAAGAGTATTTAAAGAAATGTTTTTAAACTATAATTTAAAAATAAACAATTGTGTTAACTTGTCCTTCAAAACTGGCTCTAATATAGGCAACTATTTAATTTTAAATATCGAATATATTATATATTTCGATATTTTTATAAAAAGAAATTTTAAAAACGAAAAAAGAAATCATGTCAAAATTTTGTTTATTTTTGCATTAAGTGTCAATACAGATTATTTTATTTAAAAAAAATGTATTTACACTATAATTTAAAAATAAACAATTGTGTTGACTCGTCCTCCAAAACTGGGACTAATATAGGCAACCAACTGTACACGTCCATTTAATTTTATGTAGATAATGTTTGGGTTGGCAGATTGGTCCCATGACCAGGATATTTTGTTGGAAATAACGGAATATATAAAATAGGCGTAAACAAGTTTTTCTTTTTTAAATTTGTATTTCGCCCATTTTAAATCATAAAAAAATTGTAGGTAGTTTATTATATGTATATTATTTTTGCATCAAAATTGTCAAATATATTCTTCTTTTATTAGGCTTTACATTGAATAAAAAAAAGGCAAGGAATATTTTACAAAAGAAGGGATAATTTTAATAATGGACAGGTGTGGACGGGACAAGATAAATCTTTTTTTTGTCCTTGTCACACCTTATTATAATTAAATAAAATTATCTCTACTTTTATAAAATATTTCTTGCTTTTTTTTTAATTTAATGCATACCCTAATAAAGAAAAGAATGTTTTTGACAATATTATATAATAAATTATCTACAATTTTTTTTTACAAAAACAGTCTTTTCCAACAATAATTTTGATCAAATAAAAAAAAATGAAGGAAAAAAAATATACCAGGCAACTAAATTTCGACTGAAAATTCGACTTGGAATGACCCACGATAAACCAAAAGATAACGAAATAAAACAACAATTTTTTCGCGTTCGAAATAAATAATTGGTGGCGCACAAATCAAAGAGGCCTTACTCTGGGGGCGGGGGAGGCGGCACCGCGGGGGGCGCGTCAGCCGGGAGCGGCGGATTTGACATCTGCGGCTGGTGGCGGTAAATGTCGGGAATCGGGTGCGAGTACATGAAGGCGGCGGGGTTGTAGAACTGCTGGTGAGGGTGGTACATGGGCGGAAAGGAGGGGGGCGGCACGCACATGTTGGGCATTTGGGGCGGGGGCGGGGGGTACATTTGCGGGGGATAGCGCGGCGGAGGGGGGAACATGTGCCGCGGCATGTGCTGCTGCTGCTGATTGGGGAGCATGACAGGCATGGGCGCGCGCGGGGGGTGAGGGGGATGATTGGGGAACCGCGCGGGGGCGCTACTGTTACTCGGAAAGTTGTGGTTGTTGTTGTTGCTTACCTTGTTGTTGCTGCCGGCGTAGGAGTGCCGTCCGTTTTGCTTGGAGGATGAGTCCTTGTTGGAGTACTTGGACGACTTGGCCGGGGGGGCGGTTTCCCCGCCGTAGGAGCTGCGCTCGCGCTTTTTGCCGCCGCCGCCGGACGCCTCCATGTTTATCACGTCTTTGGGGATCTTGATTTTCAGCACCCCCGTCGATTGCGGTTGATTTTTCGACGAAGGCTCCCCGATATCTTCAGTCTTAATTTTGTCCCTGGGAATTTTTATTTTTAAACCTATGCTGGGCACCGTGCTCTCCGGAAGGATCTTGTCCTTTTGGATTTTGATTTTGATCGGCTCGTTGCCCACCACCACCGATTTACTACCACCATCTTTATGCTTGTGCTTGTCTTTGTCCTTGTGTTTCTTCTTCTTCTCCTTGTCGTCGCGGCTGCGATCTTTGTCTTTGTGCTTGTGCTTCTCCTTGTTCTTCTTTTTGCTCTTGTGGTGGTGGTGATCCTTCTCTTTGGCTTCGGCGGGCACTTCCGCCGGAAGCGCCGCGGCGGTGCCGATGACCGCGGGCAGATGAGGCACCGGCGGCGTCTCCTTCAGCAGGTTGCTGATCAGAGTGGGGTTGGTCTCGATGCCGTTCGCCAGCGGCAGCGGCTTCCGCTGCTCCGCTTCCGCTTCCGCGGGAACTTGCAACTTGTTGATGCCTATCGTGGAGTCGCGCATGATATTCTCGAAGCCCTCGACCTGGTCGATCTTCTTCATGACCGGCCTCAGTTCTGGTTCGGAGCTGCTCGAATAGTTTCGGTTGCGTTTCGATACGGGCGAAGTTAGCGGCGACAGCGTTGCCAACGTCGGCTGCTGCTGCTGCTGCTGCTGCGTCGGTAACGGGTCCATCGCGCGGCGCACCGCGTTCGGGGAGTTTTTCATCGCCGGCACGCGAGGAGGAGTCTTTTCCGGCGAGAACAGACCCGGCTTTTTCACCTGCAATTAATTCGGACAAAAATTTAATTGCATCGGGAAACAAATGCATTTTTGAACTATACAGGGTGTCCCAGAACTCGGGACGTGCCGATCAGAGTTGCAATAATGTTAATGTAAAAAATAATGCAATCGTCATTTTTTTAATGGTAATGTAGTTTGAATACATTAATCATTAGAATAATTGTAATAACACTGAGAAAAAAATGGGACAAATAAACTGTTTACCTAATACTTTTATTTGTAGTGAATATATTGTTTATTACCTCTAAATAGTCGAAATAATAACGATAAATATACTTTAGTAAAACTTTATGTGTCGGGAATAAAAATATATTTAGGATAAATAAACTGTACCCTTGTCCCATATTTAAATATTTTTTTTATTTGGGAGCAATAAACTTTTTTCTCCGTGAAGAAATATTTTCATTAAAAAATAAAATACGAGTAATGAGGGACTAATGAAAGACATCAGTGAAAAATGATCAGGGGTAGGGTTGATGGGATGATTTTTCAAATGGGCCATTTTGCACCAAGTCTAACAGTTTGAAAAATGTTGATTTTTGATTTCTTTTATTTTTCGATATTCTTAAGTAGGTAAAAATCCCTTTCTGGTAAAGTTTGATATTTTTTTGATTACTCGTTAAAAAGATATAAAATTTTCAAAACAATCGCGATTTTTGTTTTTTTGCTGCTAATTTCTTTGATAATGGTCCGAATTGAAATTTTTATTTCTTAAAATTTTCGTGTATCAAAATTATCCAAAGCATATTAGCATGCAAATTTTGAGTTTTAAAATTTTAATTTTCAAACTGTATTATTCGAATTCCTTGCAATATTTTTTACATTAAACATTGCCCACTAAAAATGGGTAATTCGATAATCATTCATTTCTCATTAAAAATTTAAAAAAATGGGTGATGTAAATAAGTACATTACTCATTAACTTAAAAGATTGTAATTGAAAATTTCAAAATACTCATTACAAATTAAAAATGAGTAATGTAAAAAGAAGTAATGCATAATGAAAACTAAACACATTACTCATAATTTTAATAATGTGCATTGAAACCTTAATGCATTAAAAACATAATTTCTGCTAAAGCCACGTTTACACTTTGCAAATTAAAAATTATTGACTTGCATTTAAATTTAATGTGAATATTTAATGTGTTAAAAATGTATCAATTTAAAATTGTTAAAACTAAAAAGTATCAGTTTAAATTACAAGTTACAAATTTAAACCTATAATTTTGTAGAATAACTGTTAAAACCTACGGCACGTTCTGAGACACTCTCTGATGTATAACTGATTTTATGAAATAAAACAAATTTATGTATGTTTTTAGTAATTACCTCGATTATTTCGTGCTTGATTTCCTGCTTAATTTCATGCTTGACTTCCGGCTTGAGGTCCTGCTTGATTTTGTGTTCGTTGCTGTCGATGACCGGCAGGTTGTAGGAAGCGCCGCCGTTGCTGTTGCCGTTGTAGTTGTAAGGCGGCGGCGGTTTCGACGCGGCGGCGGCGGGCTGAGACGCGTTCGCTTTGGGGACGGATTTCGATGTGTTGTCTGCTATCAAAGGCGATTTGACTTTCTGCGAGGTAGAATTGGTAGGAGGTTTGTTCGGAAAAGCGCTGCTCGAATGTTTTTCGTGCCTGCCGCGCGCAGCCTGCTGCGCAGCGTACTTGTTTGCGTCCAAGCGAGGCCTGCTCGGATACTGCTGACTTTCGGAGGCGTTCGGCTTGAGAAGGTAGTCGCGCTGATTTTTGTCGGCGCGCGGCGGCTCGCGCGACGCCTCCCTGAGGATGTCGCGCGGTTCCTGCCGCGGCGGCGGCGGCCGCGGGTGCGGCTGCTTCGCTTTCGGATCGAGCGCCGCGGGCTGCTTGTGGTGGCCGTGCGGCGGTTTGGCCGGCGCCGGCATGTGCTTCAGCTGCGCCGCCGCCAGCCGCTCCCTCTCCTTGCGTTCGCGGTACTCGCGGTCTCTTTGCTGCAGCTGGCCGCCGCTCGAGCCCGACTCGTGCGGCGGTCTCGAACGGTGCTTGTTGTGTGGATCGTGATCTGAAGGAGGAAATCGTTGCTGAACTGGTTCTATTTGCAGGGTGGCCACAATTTTTTAAACGAAATTTAGACGGGTTTCGAACATTTTAAGCGGTTTTAAATTTTGAGGCAATGTCGATAGTTTTCGACAGTTCAATTTTAGAACATTAGAACTATATTCGTACCGTAAACACGGGTGGCTTTAGCTCACTTTCAAACTTAAGCTTAAAATTTTTGTGGTTTTAACAATCATAAACATTAAATTTTGTATACCAAAATTTGAGTCTTGAGTTGCTCTTTCATAATAACTATGTTATAATATTACATAGGGCTGAGTTTCAAAAATAAAAATTAAAAACTGGGTGTGCAAAGTTACCCCCTGGTTTCGGGTTACTTTGTCTCACAGTGTATTTTCCGTATAAAATGAATTCAATATTATATTTTATTTTTATTAGACACGTGTTAGCAGCGACATATATCTATTGCAAGGGATTACCAAACATCGACCTGTAGTTAACCAAGAATCATCATTCCAAAGGATTGCGCATAATATAGAAATTGTAACGCGTGTATTTCTAAGAGTTTTGCACTGATGCGATATATACAATTTTAAAGTGTAATAAATCCCATTTCATTCTTTAAAACACTGATTTTCCTGTAATATAAACTCAATAGAATCGCTCAAATGACAGGTTTAGACCAACAAATTATAAATGTTAATTTTATCGAGCGCGAAAAGATTTTTCATAAATGGGTTAGTCACCCGCGGGGTGATGAATTCGATGGCCGAGTTACACTTTGACAAGTCGGCACGAAATTTACCATTAACAATAACCAATTTAACGCATGCGCGTTGGTAACTGTCATGTTGTTTGTTAGGTAAATTTGGATTATTTTGACTATTTTTTAAAAGCAAAAATGGACAACACTCAATCAATTGGTTTATTTAGTGATACATTTTTATTGCAAAGTGTTCATTTTGTTTTCAATGATAGTTATTTATGTCACTAGGTTAAGAAGTAAGGCTTTTTGTGCTAAGCTCAAGGTTTGAAGGCTGACGCGTAGCGGAGGCCTACAATTGAGCGAAGCACAAAAAGGCACTTCTTGGCCGAATGGCATACAACATTTTATCTTCAAAGCACTTTATATAGGTCAATTTAATTCAACATCAAAGCGGCCTAACCTCACTTTTTTAGAATCTCATTTATTTATTAGCTAAACATTACATTAAATGTACAATAATTATTATTGCTTTTAGAAGTAGTAATAGTTTGACAATACCTAGCATTACATTGGATTCGATTAATTGTTTAATAAATAGGTAGGTATCTAATTTCAATTTGTTTGGATTATTATTTAAAAAAATAGGTAGTTTGGAATGTTTAAGCTGTGTTTAACATTGAATTTCACTGAAAACTTTAAGCAAATTTAAACTTAAAGATAATTTAAATCGTAGAAAAAGAATCGTGCGTTTTCTTGGTTGCCTAGCCTCACTTTTTGTTTTATTATTCATATTTAATTTTACAATAATTTAATGAAAAATATTAAACATTAACAGTAAAACAAACAAATTAGTGCTTATTTTAAATAAATTAAACCAGTTTAGTACGTTAAACAAAGGATTAATTTGTCAAAACAATACCTCTAGCGAGAAAAAATCGAACTAATTACTTGCCTCATAAATTTTTTTATCGGCCTAGACCATAACAAGGTATTTCTTTATCGAATGTTGACAACAATAAAGTTTAAATTATAGATCGCGTGGAGATAAATAAATTTAGTTTATTAAAAAAACACTACAAACAAAAAATTCAACGCCATTGAAAATCAAAGAAATCATCAGTTCGATTATGTCTTTCGCACTTTCATCTCTAGGACATCGCTCGATGAAAAAGTTTGAAACATAGCTGACCCAGGAGGGACAAAATTGGATTCCGGGTATAGAAATATACCTGTATTTTTGGACAATATCGCAAGCTTTGACCTTCTAGCGAGGTATTTTGTGATTTGTACAATACGTTGAGTGGATGATCGAAGATTTGGAAAATTCACGTGTCTATGGGGGGATGGCTTCGTGAAGCGCATGAACATTAAAACTTGTTGCTGGTCAAAATGGCACATTGAAACCGAGACCATTAAGGCCTTTGGCCACCAAGGAAGAAGAAGAACAAAGAAATCATTGAATCATTTGTTGGTGCAGAATTAACTAATGATAACTTTACCTAATATAATTTATATTTAAGTTTGGACATTTTTAAGAAATCTAGCAAAAAATAATTGTCGTACAAACATAACCTTAAAATAGAACATTTTTATATTTTAGTCCTCTAAAAAAACGCCGACAACTGCATTTTAAACGACAAAATATACCTACGAGTTCACGGCAACATAATGTTATATATAATACCGCAATTTATTTTTTCACTGTTTATTATTGGGAAACCGGCAAAAAAAATTCAAAAAATGGCCACCCTGGTGAGTATATACGGTACAAAAAAGAACGACACATACATGGCTTACCTTTGCTGTCATGCGTGATTCTGTGCAAGTTGGGATCTTTACCGTCCTCTCTGATAATTTTCTTCGGATCTTGATCCTGCAATAACAACCGCTCGTAAAAAATACACGCTTTGATAGGAAAACACTTACGAATGGCGAGTTTACGTGAGGAGTGGACACGTGCGTGACATTTTCCGCGATCGCCATTATTTTCTCTTTCAGCCGCGACGGGCAGTTTTCGAATATGACCAGGAACTCTTCCGTGAGTTGCTGCAAGAGTTCCGCCGTTACCGTGGGGTCCACATACCAGTACCACTCTTTTTTCTCGTTCGAGAGCGGTATCTCCCAGTTTGACCACTTGCACGCTACGAGGATGCAAAAACACGCCACCACAGTGGGCTTGTACTGAATGCACATGGTGGTCAAGTGCAGACTGAAAACAAGCGCAATAAAACCAAAACCTTTCGACTAGTTTCAGCTTTTCGCTCTCACCTGTTGCTAGCCATGAAGTATGACGTTTGCGCCAGGTCTTTGCTGGCTCTGACAAGGTGGCAACATCGCACCACGTGCGTGTGCGGGTGATCTATGGCAACGTCGAAGCCCAACGTTTGCAGCAAAACGTTCTCGTTAAAAACTAAATCCTGAGACTGAGTTTGGTATCTACAAAAAATTGTATGTAAACCTATGCCACGCCGTTTTAGCATTTATAGTTTAAAGATGTTGGAACAGAAATTTACAAAGTTACATTTTTTTAAACTCAAAACAATGATGGACAAAATTTTTTTAAATATAAAATACACCTGTAAACTTCTAAAAAATCATTTAAATGATAGTTGATAAATTTTTAATTCAAAAATTACCACTTTAAGATTTAAAACTAACATTTAAATGTAATGTGAGAATTTTAGTATTAAAAATGTATCCACTATCATTTAAATGATTCTTTACAAATTTAAACCAATAATTTTGCAGAAAAAATTTTTAAAACTACAATTTATAAAAACCAATATTTTAAATTTCAATTGTTTTACTTTTTAAACTATTTTGGTAGAAAATATTTTATTTGTTTTTATTTTAAATTTATGTCTCAACACTATTTTTATAAATACTAAAAAATTTAACTTTATAAAAAAATTATGGATTTACAAAATTCTGCCCAAATAAATTATACTATTAAAAAATGATACCTAGTTAGAAGTTTTTGTAAAAATTGATTGTTAGTAAATTTTGTGTTTCAATACATGATAGTTGAAAATACTTTACTTAAATTTATTAAAAATTTTAGTCAGGAAAATTTAAAACCAATAAAATTTTAAATTAAAAAAATATATAATAAATGTTTAAATGAGGTGCTATAAACCCCAAAAAATGTAGTAACAATTGTTTTGAGATTAAAAAAATTTAACATTACCAATTTAATCTAAATATTTTATAAAATAATTATTTAGGATTAACAACATTCTGTCCAAATAAATTATATAAAAAATTATTTAGGATTTACAAAAATTTGTAAAAATTGATTGTAAGTCAGTAAATTTTGTGTTTCAATACATGATAGTTGAAAATATTTTAAATTTATAAAAAAATTTAGTCAGGAAAATTTAAAACCAATAAAATTTTAAATTAAAAAATTATTTTATAAATGTAGATGTAGTAACAATTGTTTTGAAATTAAAAAAATGTAACTTTACCAATTTAATCTAAATAATTTTATAAAAAAATTATTTAGGATTTATAAAATTCTGCCCAAATAAATTATAGTTAAGAAATTATTTGTATTAAAAAATGATACCTAGTTAGAAGTTTTTGTAAAAATTGATTGTAAATTTTGTGTTTCAATACATGATAGTTGAAAATATTTTAAAGTTATAAAAAAATTTAGTCAGGAAAATTTAAAACCAATAAAATTTTAAATTAAAAAAATATTTAATAAATGTTAAAACGACGTGCCGTATAAACCAAAAAAAAAACAAAAAATGTAGTAGATTAGTCCGTTTTGTATTCCCCAATGAAAATTCAGTCCAATTTTTTTTTTCACGTGTAAAACGAGTTTTTCAATGGAGAAATCATAAATAGAAGTTTTTGTAAAAATTGATAGTAAATTTTGTGTTTTAATACATGATAGTTACTCTAAATATTTTATAAAATAATTATTTAGGATTAACAACATTCTGTCCAAATAAATTATATAAAAAAATTATTTAGGATTTACAAAAATTTGTAAAAATTGATTGTAAGTTAGTACATTTTGTGTTTCAATACATGATAGTTGAAAATATTTTAAATTTATAAAAAAATTTAGGCAGAAAAAAATAAAAACCAATCAAATTTTAAATTAAAAAATTATTTAATAAATGTTAAAACGACGTGACATGTAAACCCAAAAAAAAAACAAAAAATGTAGTAGATTAGTTCGTTTTTCATCCCCCAATGAAAATTCAGTCCAAATATGAATTATTTTTTTTTATTTCCACATGTAAAACAAATTTTTCAATGGGGAAATCATAAATGGGTGTTCTTTCTACCTTTCAGAATGCAAGTCGACGGAAGGACCCTGGTTCCGACAAATGTTGACCGCTCTTATTACGTGCTCCAACTTCCGGGGCTGTTCTTCCACCTTGGCGGCTAAAAAAAGGGCCGCCGCCGCCATCTGGTGCCACGGGAACTGCGTGAAGGAGTGAAATACGTAGAAGCGGTGCATATATACGATTGCCGTGTTGATGCATAGCTGAGATCTAAGCTTGGGGTTAAGGAAATGTCACGGAAAAATTCGAAATACATTTTTACAGAAAAATTATAATAATCATGTTGAAGGCACGCTCTAAATTAACTCTGTGATGGTCGTAAAGTATAACCACACAGGCCATAGTTGAGAAAATATAAAACTTAAACCAAAAAATGTTGTACATTTAATATATAAACGTCTATGAAAAATGTATTTTTGACGATAAATTAAAAAGTTAAGCTTTTTACAAGTTAAAAGAAACAATTACTTTTGAGAAATAAAAAATAGAAAAATTAAATTTAGAAATGATATATTCCAGCAAAAACTTTTATCAAGAATGAAATTTTCTCAAAAATGTAATTCTTTTTTGCAACCCATGTACATTAGACTGGGCCAAAAAAATCGACTATTTTTTTTCTTGGAAAGTATATCGAAAATATTGTTTGGGGCGACAAAAAAAAATTATGGTGAAAGTTTGAGTCCATATATTATAATATTAAAATTAAGAGGTCTATCATCGCAATTTTAGATTTTTTTTTCCTGAGCGAGTTTTTGTCTCAGAACTCCCAAACCATTGAGTTTAACAAAATTGACTTAAGAATATTTTTTGAAGAAAATTGAATGCTTTACAATAAAGGTTTGATTGGAATTTCCCGTCAGATGAACCCTTTTCTTACAATCATGCCTTAAAAATTGGTAAAGTTTTACAATTTGATCTTTTAACTTTGGAATTTAGTATTTTAAGTAAAAATCAGTACCCTGAAAAAAAACGATAAATATTCTTATGGGAAATCAAATGCTCTACAAAAAAAGTCTTTTATCATTTTTGGCTAAATTCTCTCCATCAAAAGTTATTCAAGGTTAAATTTGAAGTCAAAACGAAATTTTAACCTTGAATAACTTTTGATGGAGTGAATTTAGCCAAAAATGTTAGGAGGCTTTTTTTGTAAAGCATTTGATTTCCCATAAGAATATTTATCGGTTTTTTATGGGTACTGATTTTTACGTGAATTACAAAATTCCAATTTAAAAGATCAAAATGTAAAACTATACCAATTTTTAAGGCATGATTTTAAGGAAACGGTTCATCTGACGGAAAATTTCATTTTAACCTTTTTTGTAGAGCATTTAATTTTCTTAAAAAAATATTTTTAAGTCAATTTTGTTAAACTCAATGGTTTGGGAGTTCTGAGCCTAAAACTTGCTGAGGAAAAAAAAAATAAAATTGCGATGATAGACCTCTTAATATTAATATTATGGACTCAAACTTTCACAATAATTTTTTTTTTGTGACCCCAAAGCATATTTTCGATATACTTTTCAAAAAAAAAATAGTTGATTTTTTTGGCCCAGTCTAATGTAGGTAGGTTCTGTAAATAATATATTTGTACCCAAAGGGCACACATCAATATTTTTTTAATTAAATAGAATTTAGTAAATCTATTGCATATTAAACATAGGACATACTTGTTTAAAAAATACCTATAGTAACTGTTATAGTAATTTTTGAAACACACAATATTAAATTGTATAGGTATAATTTGAATTTTTTTTTTCAAATAATTTTTTTTTAAATATCCATAACTGCATTTTAATACCTATCTAATATTATAAATAGCTATAGTCCTTCAGTATATTTTGAATAACTAGTGAAATATTAAACATATAAATCAAATTAAATAAATAAGGCAAGGTTTAGTGTAAAGATCTTTTTAAATAAAATTGCTTGTGTAGGTTTGTAGCTAGCGCAAAAACGATAAGTGATTATTAAAAACACTTTTTACAAATCACTGATAATAATTACATTTTGTTCAAGTAAAAATTAAAGAAACCATAACAGGGAATTAAGTAAAATGGTATTTTATCAATGTGTAGTGAATAATTGCTTCAAAATAAGAAATACTTTAATGCAGTGGTTTGCCTAGTTGGTTATTTTATTTTGCAATGGTGTTATCTAGGTACTACCTACTTTCATTTTATTAATAAAAACGGTAAGTAGCGATTGGTTTACCAGTGGGTAATTAACTTTTAAGTATCAAATAGTATTGCCATTTAATTGTGTTTAAAAGGTATTTATAGTGCTGAACTTATAGTCATTAATTTAATTGTTTTGTAAATAAACTTTTTCAAAACAACTGTTTGTTTATTGTTTGTTCATAATAAGTAAATATTAGATTGTCCTTATGACATTAATTTATATTACCTTTAGGTATAGTAATTTATATAGTAAATTGCTTATATTTCTGGGCCATTTTCAGAACATAATATATAAATAAGTGCAATTTCAAAAATAAAGAGAAAAACAAAAATATAAAAGAAAAAAACTGTTTTAAGAAATATAAACTTCTAGGTGAAACTTAATGAATTATTTATTAATTATCTTTTTTTTTACAATATTGTACACACTAAGCACAGAGAGTGAGTGAAGAAAACATTAAAAATTTATTAACAAAAAAATAATGCAGAATCGGTGAAAAAATGGTGACCTACAACAAATCGAATAAAAACGTCTGAAAGGTTAAGAGTTAAAGATTAAAATTAATATGTAATTATTATATCCTGAAAAGTAAGAAAGTCTTGTTATTATTTGGAGGTAATTTGAGTGTAATTAAAATGTATTTTAAACTTAAATTGACGTCGAGGTTGACCTTGATATTATCGGTTTCTGTCTGGGCTGTGGGGTGGGGGAGCTACGTCATTAAAAAATAATGGCGCTAGAAATCCCTTTTGACCCAAATATCGTTTATAACCTGCGAAAATAATATCTACGATTCCCGTGCGTTCCAAGCATAAAGGGGCCGGGAACGCAGGGAATTACGTAGCATAGGTAGAGCATGCCTTCATACATACAAAGCTGTCATTTTACGAACTTTCCAAGGATACACTTTAAGTTTTTGTCCCATGTCCTGGATAAAATTGGCGGCCTGTTGCCTGTACGACAGTTCTTTGTATGAATCGTAGCCGCATTTTCTTGAAGGTGTATTTTCCAGTTGCTCTTTTGTAAAGTACCATTTTTCGCTATTGCTTGTATTAGCCATTTACACTTCACACGACACGCAAAAAAATGGCAGATGGCGTTGTGAAATGTCAAATCTAAACTGCGGTACATTTGCTTACGACAAAATTGTAACTGTAATCGGTAAATTTTCTTGCATAGTCACAGAAAACTCACAAATAAATACTGAAAAGTCACTTATCACAAAATTTTACAACAATGAGTCGACTACTTTGGTTGTTGCGTCACTATAAATTCGGGTTTTCCTTGATGCTGCACTCTTGCCTAATAAATCGTGTTTTTAAGGTAATTCTCAACTTTCAATTTAGGAAACTTATACCAGTTTATGCAGTGTACTTTGCTTTATACTTTTATGTAGTTTTACGATGAACGAGGTAGTTTATTATTGAAATAAATTATACATACACAAAAGTTGTAGGAATTGGTGTTATTCACTCTTCGATGGCCGACCAACCACGGTAAGCAATGCAGAGACCATTTAATGTTTGCAACTCACCCAAATTACTCAAAACCTTTACAAAACTTCACCTTAATTCACTACACTAATTTTAGCACCACTTTTTTGCCACATTATCACCTATTTCGTCTAAATTGCAAACAAAACAAACACTCAACAGTTAACTTTTACCTGTATTTTTGACAGCTTCCGTTCGACCACCGAGCCATTCCATTGGCTACCCCCACTTTTTTTACGCGGGAAATTTAAAACCGTCAATGCTCATTGGTCGAGCTCAGTTTCTAGAACAACGTATTTCTTGTTTATTTTCGCCTAACCTCAATTGAACCCAGCTATGCAAAAACCACCCAAAAGCCGTTTTCTGTGAATATTTATGTTTTAGAATGCAAGCTCCACCAGAAAACCCTTTTAAGATAAAACCACCTCTATCGACGCTTGCAGAGCAAGAAGCAGCGGCAGTATTGCGAGCAGAATTGGAAATCGAACTTAAAAACAAAAAAAAATGCGCCTATCAGCCTTACGAGTGCACCCAGTTGACAATAGACCACTACAAGTACTGCTTAAAGCATATTTTGCAGGATAAAAATGCGCCGTACAAGCAATGCTCCTACGTCTACTCTAGTAGCGGTAAAAGGTGCAATTTGGCTGCACCAAAAGGCGACAAAAAAGATTATGGGTACTGCAGTGAGCACGCCTTGAAAACTACGTTGACTAGAAATAGGCAGAACTCGAGGTATCCACCGCCTCATACGGCCGAAGTTTTGTTGCATTCTTTGGCGCATTATGTTAAGAAGAAGAGATGTAGAACCACTTCGTCCTCCAGTACTCAACATTCTGACGAAGGGAGCCAAAATCCGGATGATGTTGAGTTTAAGTGCACAAAAACATTGGATCCGTTTTGTAAGTACTGCTTGAGCACAATTCTGCGCGCGCCGATAGAGAAGATTTAAGCAGTTTTGGGTAATGTTGTTGTATTTTAGCTGAGATAGATGCCAATTTGGTTTATGGCACAAATTGCAATGATGTTTTGGATGTGTGCAGCGAATCTGAAAGCGATGTTGAAGCTTCCACTTATTCTTCAGTTTGGCATGACAGTCATGCTGATAGTTCCGATAACGAAAGTATAGACTCTGAGCAGGAGGATGTTTTAAAGTATTTATGCATTTTTTGTGTTGTTATATTCTAAACTGTTTTTTCAGGCATGCCAATGTGTACACAGCGGAAGAAATCACTCTAGTCACTAGAGATAAGTTAATTAGGTTGCAGTCGTTGTATATAGAGCAGTACAGGCATTTGCAGTACATGCTGAAGGAGAAGCGCCGGAAGTATTTGCAATCGTTGAAGAGGGAAAAAGAGACTTGCTGCAACATTTACAATCAAGTCAGGGACAATCCGAAGGAGCAAAGATTGTACAAAAAACTGAAGGCTTTCAACAAGTATCAGAGGCATTACGGAAACGAGGCCATTTTGAGTAAAAGATTGCACGAACTGAGATCAAAAGTGTGTTCTGCTTACTTGCGGTGTTTCATTTGTAGTGACGTAACATAATTTTTTTTAGATTACCGAAGGTTTACCTCAAAAACCCTCAAATGTGAAAAGTTGCTGTTTCACCGAAGGAGGTGTAAAATGTGCCGAAAAAACTTTACCTCTGGCCAAGCATTGCAGAAAACACATTTTGGAAGACCCCAATCAAGTATTATTTAGAGCGTGCGGGAAGATAAATGCCGATGTTGAATGTAATACGCCAGTTGAGGCTATTTTCGAGAACACCATGTGCAAATTGCACATGGATATTCCAGTTTTGAGGTCATATAGTCAAACTAGGGTAAGTTTTTTTTGTTTAATTTATAGAATCATTTTTAATAATATTAGTTTTTTTATTAAAATAAATATTCTATCAAACTGGGTTTTTTTTAGGTTATGTTAAATTAACCTTAAAATTGACATTTGACAGTTTTACAGCCTTGATGAATAAGGTTTATTTTTTATAAAAGAGGAGTGTCTTTGACACTTTAAGGCCTTATTTAATAATAATAATTTCACAATAATTGTAAACAACATAAAACGGCCGTCGTTAGAGTCTGTGCAGTGGGTTGCCTAACTTCGTGATTTTTATGAATACCTTTTGACATAAAAGTAAAGGACAAATATTTAAAAAAATATTTTTCCAAAGATAAAGAAAAAATATGCATTAGAAGTTTTTTATATTTTTTGTGATACGCCACTGGTTACACACTTGGTTTATCTCTGCACACTTGTGTTCTGTGAGTACATAGATACCAACCAACAAAGTAGCTGCTCGTTACCAGATGTAAAAAATTGTTACTAAAAATTTTTCTTGCAAAAAATAAATAATAACTCAATAAATACAAAAGTTTTATGCCCTTAAAGCTCCAATACCCTGTATTTATTTACTCATCCAGCTATTAGCTTAAGCAATGATTAGAAAATTTAGTACCTGTTTTAAAAACTCCATAACCACAAAATTAATTTTTTCATCGGTTTGTTTCTTTCTGTTTACTCAGATGAAATTGGGACCAGTTCACAGGTTAAACTTTAAACATTTAATTTGTGTAAATAAATCCAAAAGTTAAGATATTTACAATTTGAGCACATAACCTAAAATTTGAAAGAAATGCACTAGATTCTGTCATAAAAGTTGGCAGATTTTGTTTGAATTTACCTTCAGTACAAAAATGACATAACCAACAATTAATAAAAACGCCAAATTGACAATTTGCATTGTTAATTTTGTCATTTTTGTAATTAAGCCAAGTTTAAATAATGTTTGTCAACTTTTTTGACAGAATTTGGAAACGCTGTTGTTACCAACCATAACATAATAAATTAAATTACATAATAAATTAGATTAGCCTAAAGTTCCTGGTCGATCAGTGGCGTACTTTTTGGTAGGATAAAGGTTATTATAAATTATTTTTAGTTTTTGGAATTTAGAAAAAAAAAGTGTCATTTATTTTTAAGTATTAATATTGAACTTAATATAAACAAGTTAATTTTTTTTTCTAGATTAATTTACAGGTTTTTGTTTTTTATTCTTAGAAAGGATGGTTGATTTAAATGAATATTTTTCAAAATGCCAATATTGTTAAAAAATGTTTTGTCCGTTATTTTTTCTGAACATGGTAATAAACAATCTCTTCAAATGTTTTTTTAGAAAGACTCAGAATCGGATATGGACGATTCTCTGGAGAACACAAACCTGTTCAATGAGTCAGACTTGACGGAAACCGTTAAAACGGAAATGATAGATTACAAACAACCGGAAATACCAAAAATGGAGACGGTTCCCTCCCAATTGTTTGAAGAGTCTGAAGACATGGACTCTTCGCCGTTTATGAAGGAAAACGTGGACTTTATCGCCGAAAATTTGAGTATCATGGAGGGAGGAGAACCGCCTGGAGATTCAAACGAGACCACTCCTAAAGGAGGCGAAATCGAGCCGATTGCTAGTACCTCCCAGTTAGTTAGCGTTCTGGAGGAGACCCAGCAAATCAAAGACGAACCAGTCAAGATGGAGATGGAGACGGAAATTAAAGAAGAAACCGACAAGAAAGTTGAGATTTAAGTGTTTTTATTAGTTGTATTATATTTTGATTTTTTTAAATAAACGTTTCACTATTTTTTCGTTTTTGTCGATTGCTCCCCTCTTCTCCTCTTGTTCAGCGGATTCCTTGGGTCGTAAATTTCAAACCAGTCGTCATCTTTCGTGTTTGCATCTTTGGCCAGGATGGGGTCATCATCTTTGAAGTGAAGTTTGTGGGAAAGCCTGAAAATACGTTTGAAAACAATAGTTATTTATGTCATTAGGTTAATTCAACATCAAAGCGGCCTAACCTCACTTTTTTAGAATCTCATTTATTTATTAGCTAAAGATTACATTAAATGTATGTACAATAATTATTATTGCTTTTAGAAGCAGTATACATAATAGTTCAGTATATATAATAGTTCAATACCTAGCTACATATTTAAGTAGAAATGGATTTTTGCTATTACATTGAATTCAATTAATTGTTTAATAAATAGGTAGGTATCTAATTTCAATTTGTTTGGATTTTTATTTAAAAAATAGGTAGTTTGGAATGTTTAAGCTGTGGTTAACATTTAATTTCACTGAAAACTTAAAGCAAATTAAAACTTAAAGATAATTTAAATCGTAGAAAAAGAATCGTGCGTTTTCTTGCTTGCCTAACCTCACTTTTTGTTTTTTTATTCATATTTAATTTTACAATAATTTAATGAAAAATATTAAACATTAACAGTAAAACAAACAAATTAGGTAGTGCTTATTATAAATAAATTAAACTGCAGTTTAGTACGTTAATTTCTTAGAAAAGGATTAATTTGTCAAAACAATACCCCTGGCGAGAAAAAATCGAACTAATTACTTGCTTCATAAAATTTTTTATCGGCCTAGGCCATAACAAGGTATTTCTTTATCGAATGTTGACAACAATAAAGTTTAAATTAAAGACCGCGTGGAGATAATAGTTATTTATGTCATTAGGTTAAGAAGTAAGGCTCTTTGTGCTAAGCTCAAGGTTTTACAATTGAGCGAAGCACAAAAAGGCACTTCTTGCCGAATGGCATACAACATTTTATCTTCAAAGCACTTTATATAGGTCAATTTAATTCAACATCAAAGCGGCCTAACCTCACTTTTTTAGAATCTCATTTATTTATTAGCTAAAGATTACATTAAATGTACAATAATTATTATTGCTTTTAGAAGCAGTAATAGTTTGACAATGATTTAAGTAGAAATGGATTTTTGCTATTACATTGAATTCAATTAATTGTTTAATAAATAGGTAGGTATCTAATTTCAATTTGTTTGGATTTTTATTTAAAAAATAGGTAATTTGGAATGTTTAAGCTGTGTTTAACATTTAATTTCACTGAAAACTTAAAGCAAATTAAAACTTAAAGATAATTTAAATCGTAGAAAAAGAATCGTGCGTTTTCTTGCTTGCCTAACCTCACTTTTTGTTTTTTTATTCATATTTAATTTTACAATAATTTAATGAAAAATATTAAACATTAACAGTAAAACAAACAAATTAGGTAGTGCTTATTATAAATAAATTAAACTGCAGTTTAGTACGTTAATTTCTTAGAAAAGGATTAATTTGTCAAAACAATACCCCTGGCGAGAAAAAATTGAACTAATTACTTGCTTCATAAAATTTTTTATCGGCCTAGGCCATAACAAGGTATTTCTTTATCGAATGTTGACAACAATAAAGTTTAAATTAAAGACCGCGTGGAGATAATAGATATTTATGTCATTAGGTTAAGAAGTAAGGCTCTTTGTGCTAAGCTCAAGGTTTTACAATTGAGCGAAGCACAAAAAGGCACTTCTTGCCGAATGGCATACAACATTTTATCTTCAAAGCACTTTATATAGGTCAATTTAATTCAACATCAAAGCGGCCTAACCTCACTTTTTTAGAATCTCATTTATTTATTAGCTAAAGATTACATTAAATGTACAATAATTATTATGGCTTTTAAAAGCAGTAATAGTTTGACAATGATTTAAGTAGAAATGGATTTTTGCTATTACATTGAATTCAATTAATTGTTTAATAAATAGGTAGGTATCTAATTTCAATTTGTTTGGATTTTTATTTAAAAAATAGGTAATTTGGAATGTTTAAGCTGTGTTTAACATTTAATTTCACTGAAAACTTAAAGCAAATTAAAACTTAAAGATAATTTAAATCGTAGAAAAAGAATCGTGCGTTTTCTTGGTTGCCTAACCTCACTTTTTGTTTTTTTAATCATATTTAATTTTACAATAATTTAATGAAAAATATTAAATATTAACAGTAAAACAAACAAATTAGTGCTTATTATAAATAAATTGAACTAGTTTGGTACGTTAATTTCTTAGAAAAGGATTAATTTGTCAAAACAATACCCCTAGCGAGAAAAAATCGAACTAATTATTTGCCTCATAAATTTTTTTATCGGCCTAGGCCATAACAAGGTATTTCTTTATCGAATGTTGACAACAATAAAGTTTAAATTATAGACCGCGTGGAGATAAAACAAATTATAAGATTCGGTTATTTACCAATTTTCTTCTTCATCAATGTCTTCTTCATCTTCCTTTTTCTCCTCTTCTGGTTGTTCTTCCAACTGCTCTTTAGCGTTGTGTAATTTCTTCTTGAACTTCTCCAATAACTGTAAAGTGAACTGTTCTCTACCCGCCCCTTTTTTCGGTAAAGTTTTCTTTTTCTCCGCATACTTGTCGTACTCCGTTTTATATTCCTTGAAAGTTTCACTTTTTTCACTTTCCACCTTCTCTTCATCTTTCTGTTCCTCTTCCTTCCTTAGTTTGTTTTTGTGATATTCTTGTTTCACATCTTTGATTTGCTTTTTGATGTCTTCACTAAAATATAATGGGGTAGTTAAATTTTTTCTGACCTATACTTTTTATGGTTTTATTCAAGGCGTTTTGTAATTTTAAACATTTCTGTGAAATCGGAATTTCAATTGAGTTTACGAGATATTTACAAAAAAAATCTCCTAATTACGTCACTAGGCTATTGACAACGTTGCCAGCTTTTTCTATGGTTGCCAGTGTGTTTAGTTTAAGATTCTTACGATAGATGGCGCCACGTTATAATATTTTAGTTTTAAAACCACTTGATCTATAATTTTAGTTGAGAAGAAGAAGAAGAATTGATTTTTTGACGTTTCTTTTTTTCGGGTTATGTTTTTTTAAAATTTAGATTATTGAAAATCAATGTTATTTGTAATTGATATTAGATAAGTGATTTATTAATAACGGACTCCAAAGCAGAGGAATCTTGTGGAATGGTTGGTTACATTGAACATTGTAGCTTTTAAACAAATAAAGTAAGTACATATAATTATAATCATATTTTGTCGTATAATGCCTAGTTCTTTATATTCTTTTAGATATATCTTGGACTCTAAAATATCAAACAGTAATATGATACCTCGTAATAAGGAAGATAGGTAGGTACTTAATGAATTTTGTGACCATCTTTCACTCAACTTACAGTGACAGTATTTGTACATAACCTCTTCGGGTATTTTCTGGCATAACCGAATGAAATCATTAACAAGACAACTTGACAACAGGGTAATTTTCAACCAATAGAAATCTTAGAATGTTGGTCACATGGCGAGGTTTGTGACGTCATAAAAATTTATATTTTTTGTAAATATCTCGAAAACGGTAAACTCAATTGAAATTCCGATTTTACAGAAATGTTTAATATTACAAAACGCCTTGAATAAAACCATAAAAAGTACCTATAGGTCAGAAAAAATTTAACTACCCCATTTGTATGGTATGATCTGTACTAAAAATAAATCTTACACTTGTTTCTTCCTTTCTTCATCTCTATCCTTGTTCAGGTAATAATCATTGAGATCCTCATCATCGTCAACAATTTCCACTATTGCTGTTGGTTTGAGCTTGGTTTGTTTCTTCACTTTATCATGACTTGTTTTTAGTTTTTTTCGAATATTCTCCAACTGTTCTTCCGGATTAATTTCCTTTTCAACTTCTTCTTCATCTTCAGGTTCCTTTTTTATATCAGTTTGCGAACTGAGTTTTGGATCGTCCAAGACATCATGTGAGGACTTGCCTTTCCCCACAAATTTCTCGTTTATTTTGCTGGATTCCTCCTCGTCTTCTTCTGCTTCTTCCCCAAATGATAGCAACTTAAAATCCTTAACCCCAGCCTTCTTTTCCTTCTTCTTTTTTTCCTTAACTTCCACTGTCTTTACTCTGGGTACTATATCTTCAAAAGGGTTGTGTAAAATCTCAGTTTTGATGATTTTGTGCGGGTACTCGGGCCTCTCGTCCTCAACCAACCCCTCGGCCAGCTTGAGCATGTTAAAAACCGTATCGCCCACAATCTTCCCGAAGATGGTGTGTTTATTTTGCAACTCAGGCGTGGGGCCGAGAGTAAAAAAAAACTGCGAGGCATTGTCGTTTTCTCCAGCGTTAGCCATCGCCAAAAGACCCCTTCGCGTGAATTTGAGCCTCTGATGGAACTCATCCTTAAAAGGTTCCCCGTAAATCGATTCACCACCTGTACCATCTCCCAACGGGTCTCCCCCTTGCACAATAAACTCCTTCACAACTCTGTGGAATATTGTGTTGTTATAGTACCCCTCCATACACAACTGCACAAAATTTCTGCACGTTTTGGGGGTTTCTTTCGCCCATAGTTCAATGTCTATATCACCTACAGATGTTTTTAATAATACCTATGGACAAAACGGGTGATATTTTGCAATAATTTGAAATATATCGTACCTTCCCTGAAGTGGGGGGCTCCAAAATATAAACATTACTCATTTTTTCGACTTTTTGTTTACGAAATTTAGGTTATTTATGTCAACAACTGTCATAAACATAACCTCCATTATGTATGCAACCATACCACAGAAATAGAGGGTCTATTTCTGTGAACCATACAACAAGTGTGATCTGGGTTGCATACTTATCGATGTTTTAAAAATAGACGTGCGACTATCTGAAATTATATTTATAAATATTAGAACAAATCCACGATAATAGCAGTAATTTAATTTAATATTGACAATCCATATTTAATTTAAACATTTACAGATTAATCTTTAATTTGTTGTTTTCTCGAGTTTGTTTTCGAGATAATAATTTATTATTTAAGTATTTAAAATCACATTAGGGTCTAAAAACTTTGATTTACAATTTTAAGACAGTTTAAAAAATACACATGTGTAGTGATATTAAATAGGATGAAAGTATTCCATTTAATGATAAGATTTATACGTCTGTATAGATTATAACATCAACTAAAATGTACTTAACTTAAAGGTAATTGTTGTAAAGTGATTTCCTAGTTGACCAAAGTTGGTTTTTTGAATAAATAGTGTGAAATGTCGGGAAGGTCCGGTGGTCATCATTACAATGTAGAAGGTAATTTGTTCATTGCTGTTATACCTATTTTATTAATTTTGTTTACAAGCATTTACGTGTGTCGAGTAATTAGGTCAATACATAGGTATTATTTTGGAAACATTCATAAAAAAATATTTATTTAGTTTTAATTTAAAACTTTCAAGTTTAAGTTTAGGGTTTCAGTCGTTTTGCCATTAAATTGTATTGTATTGTTTCAAAAAAAATTTGGTTTGGCTCATAAGACACTTTTTCTTTTTTTACAGCTTTGTTCTATTTTTAATTTGCATAAATATTTTTTATTAATAGTATTTTTACTAAAATATCTATTCACGATACTCTGTAATACTTATTTTAAATGGTTTAAAAACAGGATAATCACAAAATGAAACACGTTTTCGTAATTAACACTACTTACTACTGTTTCATTTTTTTTTTCGAGTGGTACTTAGTATTAAATTATAATCTCGAGAACTATTATCAATATAATTATGGGTGAATATATGAGATGTCCCACAAGTGAAAATGATTATTTTTTATTTTTGGTTGTTTCACTGTTAGTCTAGAATGAGGTTTTTGGGAAGCCACCAGGTCTAGTAATAATATAACATAAGTGGTTCTGCACTAATGCAAGAATTTTAAGAAATGATACATTTTGAATATTAGAGCTTCACGGAGGTTAGGATTTCGTTTTTTTTATAAACATCCCTTTGTATATTTGAAATAAGTTATTGTACCTTTTGACACCTTAATATTTTTAAAAAATACAATTGTACATACATAAAATATTTATCATAAAAATCTACTTACTGAGATGTTACACTTCACGGAGGATATGTTTTTAAATGGTAAATTAATGAACTAAAACTTTTGAATTATAAAACAGCAACACTCTCATCTGCATATAATTTCTAACTGACCTTCAGGAATCACATGCATCTATAATGTCGTAAACAGGTTTTTGCTTATTTAAAATGATTAAAGCGCCATACGTTGCATAAAATTTAAAGCAAAAACAGATTCACGGAGGATAGAATCAATTTTTGTAACACCTACATAAATAGTTATAAAAATTATTTCTTTTAATTTTTAATAATATTTTATATTTGATTCGATTGCTTTGGATGTTTAATTTACTTAGTGAACTGATATTTTTACTACCTTAGATATTTGAAAACATATAGGTTAACCTAAAAAGAGTAACAGTAACGGAGGATAGGTTTTAGACTTTTAAAACATTGTAAAAAATGAGATTCACCATTATACATTATATAACTGGTTTTATTTACACGATTATTATTATTATTTTAAGAGATACATATATTAAAATAAATAAATAATATCCATATAAATAATGTTTTTCGCCTTTATTTGCTCAACTATTAAAAAATAAATATTTGATTTATAAATCTAAACATAAAAAACAATTCGTCAATGGGTAATTCTTTATAGCGGTTTGACGTGTGAACTGCACTCACCTTAATTAAGTGATATATTTTTATAACGACGAGAAGTCTCAGTCCACCTCTGGTCGGCTGTTTTTAACCGCATGCTGTCTTTCCCATGCCGTAAAATCGACAAATGAACGGTCAAGTGTATTTAATTTTAAATCGTCGTTTTAAATGGTCGTTTCAGAGTGCCCCCTGAACACCCAGAAGCAATGCAAGAAATCGGCTAGGAGCTTCAAGGGCCCCCTTCGCGTGGTGAGGCTGTGTCTTTTGGGGATTCTATTGCCCGCAGTTTTGATGGGGGTGCCCCTCTACATGAAATACAGGGTGTACGGGCATCAGTTGTACCCCCTTGCTATGTCAGATATGAGGCTTCTGGATAACAAGGTCTCCACCACTTGGTGTCAGGTTAGTTTTTTAAATTTAATTTAACTGCATAGTAATCACTAACTTATTGTAATTTTTGCACTTGAAATAAAAATAAACCAGGGTTATGTGTAAAATAATAAAAAAAATACACTTTAATCTTTTAATATCTGCAGATTTGATTTTGTTTTCTTAGTAAACATTCTAAAAATAGTATAGTAAATTTTAGATAGTAAAAAAAATATAGTAAAATTTACTTTAACAAATTTTTAAGGTAACAATATTATATATTCGTCAATACAATATTAAGATTGTAATACAAAATACTATTTTTTATTATACAATTTTAGTAAAGATTACAACACCAATATTACTGAATCATAAATGTATAATATATATTTTAATTTTTAATATGTTTAATATTTAAATATAATATACAATATAGTAACTAATGACATTTTAAACATTCATTTTCTTAGTTTCTTCAATAAACTTTCTTGACCCATTACTGGTAATACTTATAAGAAATAATTGAACCTACTTGGTTGCATAGTATGTACCGATTGCGGCAAAGGCCGCGTCGCGACGCGTCGTTAGACGGTGTGGATCACGTGATGTTCTTACATCTCGCCTCTGTTCGCTTACCAACCATGTTATATAAGCTCAGGTATTTCTTTGTTTTGGGTGTGTTCCACTACTACAAGTTGCTCGACAGTGTCGTGTCGACACTGATGATACCCAATATAGGTCAAAACACCTGTCTGTCGGCATTTGAAGTTGATGGAACGCACTCAAAACAAAAAACTTTGGCGAGGTGTAGGTTCAATTCTTTCTCATAACATTTTTGTATATTAAAAAGTACAATAAATATGTTACAATTTTTAATTGTTAACATATAAAAATATTCGATTTTAAAATAGTTTATATTTAAAATGGCAACATAATATTTTAAAATTTACTATACTTATTAGTAATGGAAAAAATCTAATTATAATAAGAATTAAAAACAAAATTTGTTGAGAATAATAATATTTTACCTTAAGGTTGCAATATACAAGGTAGATGTCCCAAATAGTAATATAAATAATTTATATTACTATTTTACTATTTTATAATTAATTTATAATTATTATAGTAAAGGTTATGGTAATCAGCATTATACTTTTCTCTCCGTGTATATTCATTAAATGGCATTTTTATTAAAGCTAGCTAGAGTTGCAAAACGTGTCACAACATAATTCCGCGTTTTTATTACATTATCTTAAAAAAACATTAAAGACTTTGATAATATTACAATATTATCCAAAGATTTGCGCGCAATTAAGACTTGTCAGCAAAAAATATATAAACATAAATATTGCAACTTTATTTGTATAATTAATTAATTGCATAATTATTATGTTTACACTAAAAAAGCGGTCAGCGGTTCCCATGGTTATGGTAAAATAGGCGCCAACCAGTAGAACCTTAGTTGCTACCATTACAGAATGGTAATGAGTTATTGTTACGAATTGACATTACAGCAAAGTAATCGTTACCACTACTGCTTTAATTAAATTTTACCACTACATGTTGTTATATAATAACCGTTTTATTAAAACCTTTTACCACTACACACAGGCCCGTTCCTGGCGAGTGTGCAGTGCGTGCACGCACGCAGGCGCAACATTTCGGGGGCGCAAAATCAAAGAGTCAATCAGTACTTTGTAAAGATAAATTTTCTTGCATATGATACTTAAACTAATAATTATTGTCAATAGCCATTTGTATCCCGGATATCTATTAGTCAACTCCTATGTAAAATTGTCCGCTGAATCCGAAAATGTCGTCAAAAGTTATAAAAGTAAATTTTCCATATAATATGGTATTGACTATATCTTAAAAACTGCTTTACTTTTATAATTTTTGACGGTATTTTCGGATTCAGGGGACAATTTTACATAATAATAAGCTGTTAAATGCTTGGGATACAAATTTCTGTGGACTAAAGTTATTAGTGACTGCTTTTTTACTTTGAAAACTAGTCATTTTTAGAGAGTACGGCACTAAAAACCTGTTGTAGATATTATATTGTTTAGATTGTTTTTTGTTTTCTTCAGAATATTTTTATCACTGACTATTTCCCTCGTCTTAATTTCCACCAATCACAAACGCGCAATTTTGAACTACAAATGGTTTCTAGGTGGAAAAACTGTATGACAGCACCTGTCAGCAGTTTTTTCGAGTTTACCCGCGGCAAAACTTGACAGCTGTTATATTTTAATTGTTAACTGTTACTCATGAAATAGTCTTGTCAAATACCATTAGGGCATCTAACTTTTCCTGTGAAAAAAAATCGTTAAAACACAATGCTAAGTAATATTTTTTAACAAAATGCTTTCATGCAGGTGCAAAAATCCCCGTCTTAGACTCGAATTTTTGTTACCACCAGCACTCATGCTTCTTGTTAAAATATTACTTAGCAACGTGTTTTTTCGATTTTTTTCGAAAAAAATAGAGGTTGTTATGTTATTACTTGTTTGTTTGGTAATTTAATAAATATTTTTTATACTTAATTTAAGCGGTTTTTTTTTACATTTTCAATTACATATTGCCAGTTTGTCGCAAAATATATATTTTTTAAATTTTACGGCTTAAAATTCAAATATTTAATGTATTATATTTAAATATAAAAGGGGCGCACCAACGAATGCTGCACGCAGGCGCCAGGCACCCCAGGAACGGGCCTGACTACACACTGTTGAAACTTACGACTACATATTGGTATATGGGTCATTTTCAAGAAACACCCGCTTTCAGGAAAATAAAGATCAAAATATTTTTTTGCTTAAATTGACTTTTGGTTGGATTTTTATAAATGTTGAGAGTTTTGTTTACTTACATTTAAGACGGGCAGTGCACTTTTTATTTTTTTAAGTTTTTTTCAGAAAAATGTGTTTAGCTAGCTTTATATATCTCCATTGTGTTAATAATTTGAAATCCAAAATTTAATTCAATAAAAAAAGTTGTTATAAAAATAATTTGAAATAAAATATACTTAGTTCACAAACTTTTGACTCCAATTTTTTATTTTATTTTTTATTAAAAATTGAATGCTTTTTTTTAAATATGTTCGTTAAGTTACTTTTTAAAAGAAACCATTCCGATTCTTTGTTAAAAAAACAATACCATTAATATTTTCATTTAGTCACTGTATTAGTGAGTTAAACTCTAATTTATAAACACGTATTACCAAGTGCACTATCATGATAGTGTATAAAAATCATTTTAAGTATTTTTTTTAACAAAAACTAAAAAAGTAACGCAATAGACATTGGTATCACAACGGACTGGGGTACACAAAGGACTTAATCAGATAACGTAAAAAAGAAACTACATAGGGTGCACCCATGGTACGATTTTAGAGTAATGCATAAACAAAATCCCTTGTAGTGGTGCTCACTTGCAGAATAACAACTTTCTATTTCTAAATTGTAGACACCCTTTTTCTTTGACTATGAGCTGGTGAAGGTCCCTTTTAGGACTTGTATATTGCGTGGAATTTTCCCTTGGATGTAATCTATATCGTGAGTTGTAATCACAAATAATTTTAAATTGGTTTATCATAAACTACTTTTAATAAAAGCGACGGTAAATATCCACTTTGTTGTCGAAAAATTCTATTGCGTTACCCTAAATTCCATTGCGTTACTATAAGGTAACATAGTGGACTCGGTAACGCAGTGGACAAAGTTTTGTAAAACCATATTTAAAAAATAATAATAAGACATTATAGTCATTAATTACTCTCAATGAGCTTTAGTGTCCTAAAATGAACATAAACATGAAAAATAGTATTTTTTCTTACCTTATTTTTATTATTTTTTTGAGTAACTTAGGGGACAAACAATTATTACATTCGCGTTACCCGCACCTGTTTCAACCGATATCTTCTTCCTGATTGAATAAATAAATTCCGCTGGGTAATGTGTACGTCCGAACATCATTTGTTGATCACGTGAGTGCCAAAAAAGTTGCCATATATATGTTTTTTTTAATATTCTATCGGTAACGCGACGGACGTAACGCAACGGAAAAAATGTCTGGGACATGAGTCAAATTAAAAAAAAGTAGTTTAAAATTAATTATTTTATATATAAATTGTTTACTGTATAAACTAAGGATGTTATGGATTGCTATAAAGCAACACAAAGTTCTGGTTATTCAATATTAAAAAAAAACATGTATGTAAGTTCCTTGCCACTTATAGTCAGTAGTGGTAAATTTAATTTACAGAGTATACCATTTTCTAGTGGTATGTATCTCTCATTTAATATTAATCCTAATAACATTGTCCCTGTTGTAGTTAGTCAAAGTCACTTTACTATAGTATACCAAAAAAGTAAAATAAAAGTGGGATAATTTTTTTCCTAAAACCTTTTATTTATTGTAGAGGCAACTAGTTAAAGTAAACACAACTTTTAACGCCTTTTTACTACCAGAAGCCCCAAAAATATCTCCCAACCTACAGCAGCTGTCCATGGTTAGGCATCTGGAGTTGGAGGACGACACAAAGGAGTACTGGGGATTTTATCTACTGGCTGGATCTTCGGTTACTGTTTCCACATGCGTCAGGTACCCACACAGTCGACAAGACTCGATCTTTGAATCCAAATAAATCTCTTCTTAATTAATATTAGGTGGCCTGGAGCGTCATTGATAGTCATCAAAGGCCACAAACACCTACACGAGTGCGCGTACATTGGAGACAACTCCTCGGAAGAAATAGAAGAGCTAATGGAGGCGATCAGAGAAGGCTCGTACGTGAACCCAAACGTCAATGGCACATCGAAGGAAGACGCGCCAGCAAACGAGCCAGACTTGATGAAGAGGCACCGGGAAAACGTTGAATTCCACCACCCGAATCACGCGAACTCCACCAAGCACAAGTTGGATACGACTGTAGACGCAGCGGATATATCCGATCCAAAAATCATGAAGGAGATTCTGGACGCGTTGGAGTCGAAGACCGGGAGGAAGAGCAAATCCGTCGATCATCCACATTTACGCAGAAACTCCACCATAGCTAAGAACGAGGTTAAGAACATCAACATTCAGCAAGGTGGTGGAAACGCTAAAAATGCAAGCAGTGACTCTCAGGAGGTTTTAAACGGTATTCTAAAGCAGTTGGAAGGTATGGGTGGGAAAGGAGACGAAATTTTGGCGAAAGTGAACAAAAAATACCGAGAGAATTCCAACAAATACCCCGATCACGTACTGAACATGAAAGGAAGGCATTATTCCAAACCCCCAGTCGAGTTCAATGATAACATAGACAAAGCTAGGAGAAGAAAAAGGGATCTTATAATAAAAACAGCAATGGAGGCCCAGTTAAATAGCAATGATGAAGAAAACAACTTGGGATTGGAAGAGGTAAGTAATTTTAACAAGCTAGAAATACTTGACAACTTTGGTGATATGTTAAACAAATATTAGAAATTCCAACACCAAAACAAAATATTACGCTTCTGAACCCTGATAGCAAAATTTGTTTCTAAGAATCTTCTAAGAAGATATGACCCGGAATAATGGAATATTCTTATTAATACCGTTTTAATGATGCAATTAGATTCTTAGAAGCTTCTTAAAAGCATTCTAAGAACATTTTAAGAATACGTTTTTGGAATGTTCTTAGAAGGTTTCTTATGGAGCTTCTAGGAAGCTTTTGAGAATATTTCCAAATATGTCAGATACCCACGTTCTAATATGCTGGATTCTACATTCGTAAAATTCTTCAGGAGGCGACAAATACTACTATAATATGACAGTGAAATGTATTTGTCGTCCCCTTAAATTTTGCGACATATATATATATTTATTTAAAAATATTAAATAAACAATTTGACCTCTAAACCATAAGTTGTATGACATTATTTCATAAAAAGTAAAATTGGAAAATTTTGTGGGATAAGTCAGATTAGATTGAAGTTGAAGATAGTTAGGATTATTATACATAAAAATGTTAATTCAGAAATAAAAAATCGGTATACAAATTAATAAATATTTATTTTTAACATAAAATAAAATATGCAAAAACAAAATATTTCCTCATAAAATAATTCATCATAAAAGAAAAAACCCAATAGTTCTTCATAAAAAAAAACATTTTTCATTGTATTTAAGTTGGATAGAAGATTTTATGTAAAAGCCGGATAATTTAGATACCTATAGTAAAAGTATTTTTGCTATCGAATATTGTTTTAATTTGACAAATATCTATAAAAAATATTTTGGGTTGTGTTTTTTACTTAGTATTTAATACTACCTTTATACGTAGATTATGGTATATTTTACTTTTATATAGGTACCTAACTGAACTGAATATGCTTAACAGAATGTTCCAGGAATATTCCTAAATGAACTTTCTATAGCAATTACTTTCTCAACATTGTAAGCATATGTTTATAGTGGATTAATTTTTACCACTAAACTTTGCACCTTCTAAGAACCTGCCTATAGGCCAGTGAGAATATTCTTAGGATTATGCTGTATTTCTTTTAAGCATGTTCTTTAGAAGAAATATAGCATGATCCTAAGAATATTCTCACTGGAAGGTTTAAAAAACATTCTTAGAACATGACTAGAAGAAATATAGCATGATCCTAAGAATATTCCCACTGGAAATGATATGATGATAAAATAATTCATCATAAAAGAAAAAACCAAATGGTTCTTCATAAAAAAAACATTTTTCATTGTATTTAAGTTGGATAGAAGATTTTATGTAAAAACTGGATAATTTAGATACCTATAGTAAAAGTATTTTTGTTATCGAATATTGTTTTAATTTGACAAATAACTATAAAAAATATGTTGGGTTGTGTTTTTTACTTAGTATTTAATACTACCTTTATACGTAGATTATGGTATATTTTACTATTATATTGGTACCTAACTGAACTGAATATGCTTAACAGAATGTTCCAGGAATATTCCTAAATGAACTTTCTATAGCAATTACTTTCTCAACATTCTAAGCATATGTTTAGAGTGGATTAATTTTTACCACTAAACTTTGCACCTTCTAAGAACCCGCCTATAGGCCAGTGAGAATATTCTTAGGATTATGCTGTATTTCTTTTAAGCATGTTCTTTAGAAGAAATATAGCATGATCCTAAGAATATTCCCACTGGAAGGTTTAAAAAACATTCTTAGAATAAACTGTGCTATCGGGGAAGATGCCAACTACGTTGTGAAAATACTTTGTGTTTTGGTGTTGAAGAATATTTCTAATATTTGTTAAACCTGGAAGTATTAACCATGTTATTGTCTTCTAGGGATTCAATCCTGATGGTATAGCAGACCACAGAGGCACTGTCAACGAAACCACCTTAAACGATATGAGCAACAGCGAGTTTTGGTCTTCATTTTCCAGCTCTGAAGAAGCTCTTCTGAACTGCGCTGGCTTAATTTTGAACCTGCCACTTACCCCACACCATAACTGTCGACAAAATTTGACCGAAGACCAAGCAAGAGAAACCTACCTGGCCAACTCTGTCACTTACAAGTAGGAGTGTAATGTTTCGCCACATCAAAACCTAATCATTTCTTCCTTACAGAGTTCCTTCGAATGGTTACTACTTCTTCGTTTTCAACAGCGAGAATGAGGTTCAAAAAAACTACATCAGAGTGCAGTTTAACATCAACAAAGCGGTCTACAACGTCTCCAATCCCGTGGAGTCTTGCAAGAACTCCTCCCAAACGTGCGCCTTGAATCTGAAGTTTTTTTCCTCGGAGAAGCTGGTGATGGAGCTTCCGGTCAAAGATAACGACACTTTGTGGAACGAGGAGTTCGTTGTGATTTCGGAATGTGAGCCGAGAACAGCAATCTATGTCGTGAGTGTTCTCACTGTGCCTGTACTTGTTTTACTCTTTGCATTTTCGTGATATTTTTAAACAAAATGAGACTGTTTTATGTGAGTTTTATACATTATATATTTTACTTTAATAAAGATATTATTTATAATTAGTATTATTATTAAGCTTCAATTCTGACTGACAGTCAAATTTAGTATTTTAACTAACTAAGAATAAGGCAGAAAAATGTTAAAAACGTGGGACGATTTGTTGTGTTTTTCGAGATATTTTAAGGTTATGTTTTTACAACTATTATTTTTTGTTAAATTTCTTAAAAATGTCCAAGTTTAAATATAAATTATATTAAGTAAAGTTATGATTAGTTAATTCTGCACCAACAAATGTACTTACCGAATTGGATCCTTTGGCAAAACATGAAAATGCAACGATTTAGTTCTTGAATTGAATTTATTGAGATGTCCCCCAAGTGAAAATGATTATTTTTTATTTTTGGTTGTTTCACTGTTAGTCTAGAATGGGATTTTTGGGAAGCCACCAGGTCTAGTAATAACATAACATAAGTGGTTCTGCACTAATGCAAGAATTTTAAGAAATCATACATTTTGATTATTAAAGCTTCACGGAAGATAGCTTCGCGGAGGTTAGGATTTCGTATGTTTTTTTTTAAACATCCCTTTGTATATTTGAAATAAGTTATTGTATCTTTTGACACTTTAAGGCCGATACAAATTTTTATGAGGCAAGTAATTAGTTCGATTTTTTCTCGCTAGGGGTATTGTTTTGACAAATTAATCCTTTTCTAAGAAATTAACGTACTAAACTGGTTTAATTTATTTATCTACGCCAGTGAGATAAGAACTTCTTATCCCACTCATTTTGAGTGAGATAAGAAGTTCATTAACGCACGCGTTTTTCTCTGCTTTTAACCAATCAAATAAAAAAGTCAAAATGTCAAAAAACCCTAAATTAAGTCTTAGACAAAAATAATTACCGTTTATTTTTTCATTTAGAGGCGTAGATAAAAATTTGTACAATATACGTGTGATAACGCTTTATTAACGTACTTTTGCGATTGCCCAACTCGTGCTACGCATGCTTACGTTAATAAAGCTCTTATCCCACTTATATCGTAAATAACTATTATAATAAGCACTAATTTCTTTGTTTTACTGTTAATGTTTAATATTTTTCATTAAATTATTGTAAAATTAAATATGAATAATAAAACAAAAAGTGAGGTTAGGCAACCAAGAAAACGCACGATTCTTTTTCTACGATTTAAATTATCTTTAAGTTTTAATTTGCTTTAAGTTTTCAGTGAAATTAAATGTTAAACACAGCTTAAACATTCCAAACGACCTATTTTTTAAATAAAAATCCAAACAAATTGAAATTAGATACCTACCTATTTATTAAACAATTAATTGAATTCAATGTAATAGCAAAAATCCATTTCTACTTAAATCATGTAGCTAGGTATTGTCAGACTATTACTGCTCCTAAAAGCAATAATAATTATTGTACATTTAATGTAATCTTTAGCTAATAAATAAATGAGATTCTAAAAAAGTGAGGTTAGGCCGCTTTGATGTTGAATTAAATTGAGCTATATAAAGTGCTTTGAAGATAAAATGTTGTATGCCATTCGGCCAAGAAGTGCCTTTTTGTGCTTCGCTCAATTGTAGGCCTTCGCTTAGCACAAAAAGCCTTACTTCTTAACCTAATGACATAAATAACTATTAAATATACAATTGTACATACATAAAATATTTATAAAAAAAATCTACTTACTGAGATATTACACTTTACGGTGAATAGGTTTTTAAATGGCAAATTAATGAACTTAAACTTTTGAATTATAAAACAGCAACACTCTCATCGGCATATAAATTCTAACTGACCTTCAGGAATCACATGCATCTATAATGTCGTAAACAGAGGTTTTTGCTTATTTAAAATGATTAAAGCGCCATCCGTTGCATACAATTTAAAGCAGAAACAGATTCACGGAGGATAGAATCAATTTTTTAACACCTTCATAAATGGTTATAAAAATTATTTGTTTTAATTTTTAATAATATTTTATATTTGATTCGATTGCTTTGGATGTGTTTAATTTACTTAGTGAACTGATATTTTTAGTATGCTTTTGTAAAAAATAATTAATTGCGGTTAAAAATCTGGAAGCTTTATAAACTCGGGACTTAATTATTATGCACAAGCATAGCTTTCGGAGCGAGTTTTTAATAAACGAGTGTCTAAATAAATTTATTAAATGAACGAATGTAATGTGGTTTTCAGAGTTTAAAGCCGATTTTATTTGACAGCTTGCAGGGCGAGTTTTTAATAAATGAGTGAGTTTAAACAATTGATACTGTTTTTTATATGGTTTAGTTAAAGTTTATGTATTCATAGTAAAAAAATTGTATTTTTATTTATCCCCTAATTTTGCCACCAGATTAATTTCACCACTAAGGGGTGGCGAGACAGGCTATTGAATCCTAATATGATTTTTACGAGTTTTTTGGCACGTGGCTTTTTCGATTCGAAAATTTCTCACTGAACAAAAACGTGCAATAAAATACTTAGGGTAGATTTTCTATTGGAGTTTTTTTATCATATTCCTACAGGGTAAGGTAACTATTATAATAGAAAAGGCATTTTAAACATTTTTGTTAAATTGGCTAAACCATTATAAAAAAACACATTTTAAATTTTATTGGTTGCCTATTGATTTTTATTACAATGGATATTCCGATGTATAATATTTTTTAATTTCGGGGAATTCGGTATGGCTTGTTAGCAACATGTTGTATCTTCACAATCAAAAGTAAATATTATGAAGAGGAACGACTTATGGGAAACACAAGTACAAAGCGAGGCCTCTAATCTCTATTAGGTTGTTATCAGCCAGGAACAGATCACGTTTTAGCCATAATGACACTTTAAGGGTCGCTTTTGACGGGTGGATCATCCCCCTTTCATTTGAGACACTCCCCTGTTTATTTTGATTAGCATATTGAAGCGTCAAAACAATCACGATGCTTCAATGAATACGAATAGGCCAGCTAAATGACTATCTATAATTTAATTATAATTTATGGGAGAATGATTTTTTATTAATCAGTGTGTTTATAATAATGACAATGACAAATATTCAGACAAAGTAAGTATGTACACTCAGAAAAATGTACATGCACTGATAATGAAACTAATTTTGTAAGCGATTAATAAAATAATATTATTTAACTTAAATTTAAAATTGTAATGGCTATAAAAAAATGTACCACCTAAGGTACCTTTTTTATTAAATTTTCTGTGTCTTATTGGGACAAAAACGTACGATTTGTCGAAGTAATGGGATTATTTTTATTTACAGAATAAACTTTTTTTACTGTTAATAAAATTCTCATTTACTATAATGAAGCAGCAATGTTGAGCTTTTATAAAAAAACATGTTCATCCAACAAAGTAATAGTTGTTATAATATTGTCATGGCAATAAGAAATACTTTATGTTTATATTAAATCTTTGTCGAACTTAAAATGTTTTTGTTAAATCTATAGTTGTGTGTGAATTGCGCTTACATAAAGTAATGCGCAGTTGTTATAGTAAAATTTGTTCATTTACAATGGCATATTTGTCTTTTTTAAATTACTATCGTTGTAATTCAAATTAATTTTATTTTTGTTAGAAAATCTTTGTTAATAACTTACGTTAAGAACAGTAACAAAAATATTTTATTGCTATAAAAAAACTTTTTTAATATTTACTATTGTTTTGCAATGATAACAAAATGTTTGTTATTTTCCTTAAAAAGAGGGGGAAAGGGCCAGCGATCTCCTTGGTGAACATAACTTTATAATCCACAGTCTATGTTATAATCTTACTGATTTCACTTGTGCGAGTGAAGTGTGGTAAAATTTACCAACTACCCAATACCCAACAGTAGGTTAAAAATGTGACCATTATTACAATGAAAATAGTTTATTGAATTAACAATTATTTGTTGTTAAATTTACATAATTTTATTAATATTATAAAAAAAGTTTTATTTTAAACGAAAAGGGATTTGTAAAATTTACAAAATTTCTATGAATAATACCATTAGGGTTTCATTAATACTACAAAACGTTTTTGAAAACGGTATAGAACTGTTTTTTTGGACAAATAATAATAACAATATTTATCAATGCGTTTCCGCATCTGGAAGAGTGTTATTTTTATAAACATAACGTAAATTTACTTTATAATTAATGCAAATGCTATTACTGAAAGCAGCGTTTGTAGATAAATAATTTTTATAAAAATGATCTTTTTGCCCTAACAAAAGCAATTGTTGGATGAATAAAGATCTTAAAGAATGTAGGTACCTATAGGTATTTAAAAATAAAATGTTCCTAATCAAGGTTAAAATATCAAAGAATACATTTATTTAAAAATAAAATAATTTTGAAGAATTTTTTTCTATCGAGTTGGGATGGATATTTTTATCGTGGGAAGATGATACCGTCTATAAAAGTTAATCTGTAGTATAATTTGCGAACACGCGCCAACAAATCCACCCTTGATCCAAATTAATTAGGGCTCAAGTGATGGAAAGATCGGATTATAAGATTAAAAAATTAAAATTCATTTATGCCTTTTTTTTTGTTTTAAAAGTCTTGAAAATTTGTGGTGTTAGAAATCATATACATAATACATAATTTTAAAAACTACCCACCCTTAATAACTTTTGAGTTATAGTAGTTAAGTATGATTTAGATATCGAGTTAAACAAATTTTTTTAATAAAACAAAAAATAACATGAAAAAATTATATAAAAAAACTGTTTTATTTTCTTCGTTTTAATTTACCTTCAGCATGCACGTTTTAGTTAAAATATTTGGATTGATATATAAAACTACCTAAATATTAGAAAAGTTGTGTATACTTTAGCAGAAAGAACCGAATTAATTTTCATTTCACGGTGGATAGGTTTTTAAATAGCAAATTAATGAACTTAAACTTTTAAACTATAAAACAGCAACACTCTTATCTGCATATAAATTGTAACTGACCTGAATCACATGCATCTATAGATTATATATAATGTCGTAAACAGAGGTTTTTGCTTATTTAAAATGATTAAAGCGACATCCGTTGCACAAAATTTAAAGCAAAAACATCTCACGGAGGATAGAATCAATTTTTTTAACACCTACATACTGTCTGTCCACTCTAAGTTGGCGGAACTAAGGAATTTTTTAGTTTAGATAATAAAGAATTGTCGTACTGTGTGCTTTTAAAACAGATTTTATATTATAAATAATACTAGTACATATTATATACTAGTATTATTTATAATATAAAATCTGTTTTAAAAGCACACAGTACGACAATTCTTTAATATCTAAACAACAAAATTCCTTAGTTCAGCCAACTTAGAGTGGACAGACAGTAAATGGTTATAAAAATTATTTCTTTTAATTTCTAATAATATTTTACATTTGATTCGATTGCTTTGGATGTGTTTAATTTACTTAGTGAACTGATATTTTTAGTGTGCTTTTACTACCTCAGATAATTGAAAACATATAGGTTAACCTAGAAAGAGTAACAGTCACGGAGGATAGGTTTTAGACTTTTAAAACATTGTAAAAAATAATTAATTGCGGTTAAAAATCTAGAACCTGAGCTGTAATATCTACTTAATTATGAAAGATGAAAACACAATAAAAGTGTAGGTCAAACATATTAGTTTTATTAAATATCACGGGGTAACACCATCGGGGGACATTTCGTGAGATTCACCCATATATATTGGATCTAAGCCAAAAAAGGTTTTTTAATACAATAGAAATTTAATGCACTATTATTTAAAGATAACATTATTCAACGTCAGCCGGTTAACATACCTGCAACTTAATGATAAGACTTGAACCTCCCCTATTTGTTGACATTTGCACCTCCCCTTAGTCTGCCTTTTATATATTTACTACTTCTGAGGAATGCGAACAAAATTTTAATAATTTTGAAAAAAATCGTTATTTTCCGAAAATTATTTAGTTAAATAGGTAATCTTAATGAGATTATTTTTATTTACAGAATAAACTTTTTTTAATGTTAATAAAATTCTCATTTACTATAATGAAGCAGCAATCCAACAAAGTAATAGTTGTTATCATATTGCCATGGCAATAAGAAATACTTTATGTTTATATTAAATCTTTGTCGAACTTAAAATGTTCTTGTTAAATTTATAGTTGTGTGTGAATTGCGCTTACATAAAGTAATGCGCAGTTGTTATAGTAAAATTTGTTCATTTTACTATGGCATATTTGTCTTTTTTAAATTACTATCGTTGTAATTCAAATTAATTTTATTTCAGTTGGAAAATCTTTGTTAATAGCTTACGTTAAGCAAAAATATTTTATTGCTATAAAAAGACTTTTTTAATATTTACTATTGTTTTGCAATGGTAACAAAATTTTAGTTATTTCCCTTCAAAAGAGGGGGAAAGGGCCAGCGCTCTCCTTGGTGAACATAACTTTATAATCCAAAGTCTGTGTTATAATCTTATTGATTTCACTTGTGCGAGTGAAGTGTGGTAAAATTTAGCATGATAAAAATATCAAAAAGATCACTAAGAAAATTAAAATTTCGACGTTTTGTAACAGAAATATTTAAGGTCTATTCTATAAACGAAGCAGACTTGTTGTTTAAAAAGTGAGTTCGTATTTTTTCTATTTTGTACATCATATAATATGAGTTAATTTTTTTGTAATAATAAATAATTTGTTTTAATGCCTTGCAATTATTTTAAAAAAACTACCCAACACCCAACAGTAGGTTGAAAATGTGACCATTGTTACAATGAAAATAGTTTATTGAATTAACAATTAATTTGTTGTTAAATTTACATAAATTTTATTTTTATTATATTTGTTATTTTTTACATATAGGTAGGTAGGTACATAAAGAAACAAATTAATAAAAAAAATGTTTTTATAGTCATACAGATATTTTTTATTTGAAGACCAACAATTTCAAATATTACTCCAAATCAATACCTACCCTTTATCATCCTCCCAACAACACCTTCACACCCTTACCAAACAAGGGTGGAGACTAAAGCTAAACGCCCACGTTTCGCGAGTTCTGTTACCCCATTGGTCCATTCGCAGAGTCTGGAATTTCGAGATAAACCTAAAACGGGATGTGTGATGCTGATTATTTTCCCTGCAGTTCCATCTGACTTCCGCAACCAGACGATATACTGCTAATTGTTGGTGATTTATTAGTTACTTGTTAAAAGTGGAAGTTTTGTGGTTGCAAATATTGAGGATATATACCTAAAGAATCAATGGTAAGGACACAAAATTATATATTATATATCGTCCCCGTTCTGGCAAAAGTCATTAACTCCATTTTTGTCTAAAAGTAGTTGACTACCTTCGCGATCATAGAACAATTATATCTGTGGTCTAGAAAAATTATTAAGTGCAGTATTGTATTTTTAGCATGCTAGCAATACAATACTGCACTTAATAAGTTCTTCTAGACCACAGATATAATTGTTCTATGATCGCGAAGGTAGTCAACTACTTTTAGACAAAAATGGAGTTAATTACTTTTGCCAGAACGGGGACGATATATCGAGGTGTATTCAGAAAATAACGGGAATTATTAAATTTCGCGGGTTCGAAGGGTCCGGTTGTCATAAAATTTTCTTTATTATGTTGGTATACATGCCCCCGAAGTATGATAAAAACTTTAGCTGTTTTCATTGTTTACTTTGTCTGTGGCAGCCGCTAAGGTTAGACGTGTTTTATGAGCTCGGCGATTTTTCGTTCGTTAAAAGAAATGGATCAAAGAATTTGTATCCAATTTTGCTTGAAAAATGAAAGAAATTCTGTGAAATGTTAACAAAGGCCTATAGTGAGTCTGCTATAAGTAAAACAAGAGTTTACAAGTGGTATAAGAGTTTCCATGATGGCCGTGAAGACGTTGAAGATGACGAACGCCCCGAACGCACAAGACATTAACAACCGAAAAAACATGGAAAAAGTGGAAGAAATGGTCATAAACCATCAGAGAAGTCGCTGATGATGTTGGTATATCGATTGGCTCACCCCATGAAATTTTTTCGAATGTTTTGTGTATAAAACGCGTGGCAGAAATTTTTTTTCTAAAATTGTTAAACTTTGAAAAAAAATTTAGGCCAAAAACAATACTGTAATGATGCCCCAGCCTCCATATTCGCCAGACATGCCTCTGTCCGACTTTTTCCTATTCCCAAAAATAAATAGAACCTTAAAGGGCCATCGTTTTGCAAGCATAGATGACATTAAAAGCGCATCGCTGAAAGAATTAAAGGCTATCCCAAAGATCGAGTTTTAGAAGTGTTTCCAGTATTGGAAGAAGAGCTGGCACACGTGCATAATATCCAATGGGGACTATTTTGAAGGCGACAACATTAATGTAGACGAATAAATAAATATTTGTTTCAAAAAACCAAAATTCCCGATATTTTCTGAACACACCTCATTATAGTATGGAACGCCATTTTAGTTAATATTATTTGTTTTTTACATTTTTTAAATAAAAATCATTTTTATGATTCTTTATTTATTTATATACAATTAATTGATTGTTTAAAAACCTTGCCCATTTAAATTGAATGATGAAAAAAATATTTCCTTATTTTTAAATTTTTGTTTTAAATTTTTAAATTTAAATAAGGAATTAAATTTATCATGTAACAAATTAATTCAACAATCATTTTAATTCAACTAACATAAAAATAGCCACCATTTAAATGAAAGAATTAAAATTATAAACAAACAATTTAATTCAAACATAATAATGTAGCGAATTATTTTGACTGATGAATTAAAATGTTACATGATTTAAAATGACTGTTGATAAATTTAATTCTTTCATTTTAACTCAGGAATTAAAATTATCAACAAACATTTTAATTGGGCGCTGGAGATGGCGGGCAATGTGAATACTACATAAAAAGTTTACTTGGCAACTTCGCATCTTTATTAAACCGCAGAAAAGTAACATGCAACGTTAAAACCATTGATTATTATACCCCTTCACTAAACGGTCACGTCTTTTCGCGATTTTCAAGATGCAACATTGCCACGTGAACCTTTTAAGTAGTTCTCATATCGCCCGCTAGCTGCAGCGCCCAATAAAAATGTTTGTTGATAATTTTAATTCCTGAATTAAAATGAAAGAATTAAAATTATCAACAGTCATTTTAAATCATGTAACATATTAAATCAACTAACAAAAAATAACAAACATTTAAATTAAGAAATTAAAATTATTAACAAACGTTTTAATTCCTGAATTGAAATGTTTGTTGTTTTTTTGCTTGTTGAATTATTATGTTACATGATTTAAAATGATTGTTGATAATTTAAATTCCTTACATTAAATTTTATTTATTTATTTTATTTATTTATTTCTTTAAATTATTTACATAACTTTTTATAGCCAACAAAACAGTTCTTAACTGGTACCGCTAGTCTATAAAATTTGTTTCCATCCAACTAATCCATTCCATTCCATACATTTTCTTACTTACTTTTTCAAAAAGTACCTATCTTTAAAGCTTTTACGTGCCTGTTTGAAACTTAAAATAAAAATTTAAATATAAAGAAACATTTTATTTAATTAATCAATTTAAATGGCACAGTTTTTAAAACAATCAATTTAAATGTAACAAAATAAATAAGGAATCATAAAAATTATTTTTGGTTTAAATTATTAAAAAATTTATTTTTCAATTATAAATTAATTTAAATGATTGTCTATTTATTATGTTACAATTAATTGATTGTTTAAAAAACCCTGTCCATTTAAATTGAATGATCTAAAAAATGTTTATTTGTATTTAAATTTTTCTTTTAAGTTTTTATATTTAAATAATGAATTAAATTTATCATGTAACAAATTAATTCAACAATCATTTTAATTCAACTAACATAAAAATAGCCACCATTTAAATGAAAGAATTAAAATTGTAAACAAACAATTTAATTCAAACATAATAATGTAGAGAATTATTTTGACTGATGAATTAAAATGATTGTTTATTTAAAATGTTTGTTGATATAAAATGTTACATGATAATTTTAAATGGATTTAATATGATTGTTCAATTAAAACGATTGTTGCATTAAAATGTTACATGATAATTTTAATTGGGCGCTGAAGTTTGCGGACAGATTAGGTATTAAATTTGGGTCTACGCGTCTAATGCCTATGGTTTTTGCAGCATATGCTGACAAAACAGGAATTACAGAGACTTAGTGATTGACTTTGCCTTAGACTCACAAAATTGACTACACTCTCATATACCTATAACTTAGTTATAGGTATATGTACACTCTAGAAAGAGACAAAGCGATAATCTTGAAACAATTATAGACATTAGACGCGTAGACCCAAATTTAATACCTAAGCTGTCCGCAAACTTCAGCGCCCAATTAAAATTATCATGTAACATTTTAATACAACAATCGTTTTAATTGAACAATCATATTTATTCCATTTAAAATTATTATGTAACATTTTATTTCAACAAACATTTTAAATAAACAATCATTTTAATTCATCAATCAAAATAATTCGCTACATTATTATGTTTAAATTAAATTGTTTGTTTATAATTTATATTCTTTCATTTAAATGGTGGCTATTTTTATGTTAGTTGAATTAAAATGATTGTTGAATTAATTTGTTACATGATAAATTTAATTCCTTATTTAAATTTAAAAATTTAAAACAAAAATTTAAAAATAAGGAAATATTTTTTTCATCATTCAATTTAAATGGGCAAGGTTTTTAAACAATCAATTAATTGAATAAAAATAAATAAAGAATCATAAAAATGATTTTTATTTAAAAAATGTAAAAAACAAATAATATTAACTAAAACGGCGTTCCATATTATAGGTATATATTATTACTAATAACAAAAATAACCATTTTTAGTGTAAAAAGGTGTACTATATTTACATTAAATATTTACAGTTTACGAATTTTCACATTTTTAGGTAGGTACTACTTCCAAACACGACCACTATAGTTGTTTATACTTATAAGTATTATTCCAAAAAACATAAACAACATCACATATATCACAATTTTGGACTTTCCAATTTTGCATTTTTCACTTTTTGATCCTGATAAAGGAAAACATTTTTTCTTTTGAACAAGCCTCTTCGACATAATATTTCCTCTCAAATCTTCTAAAAGTCTGGTACCCTCTTCATAATTTTCAAGTATTTTTTTCTTTTCATCAATTGCTTCCCCATAACTATACACTTGATCTATTAACAGTTGTATACATTCATATTCGTAATTTGTTTGAATGTGTCCCATCGTATCTTTGGCACTGATTATAATCGTTTAATAATTTCCTAAAGTTCGATTTTATTATATAGAGAAAAGTAAGCATTTAAATGCAATTATTTTTAGTTTTAAAAACGTATTAAATTGTCATTTACCAACACTCAAAGAATTATGATAAGTTAATTTAACTATAAAAAGAGTTTAAGTAACAATATTGCCAATTTTGTAACATTAAACAATAAAAATTGTATTTTTAAACATATTGTGATTGTAAATACAATACATTAAAATTTGTTAGCGAACAAAATAAGCTTTTACCTAAAATTGGGTGTTCTTGACAATTATTTTTGTTTATCTCACCTCTAATTTGTTAAATCAAACAAAATAATTGTAAACTTACAATTTAAATACTATTATATTGTATTTTTAATCATAATGTGTTTACTTCACTATCCCACAAATACACGAACCTATTAAAAGAGTAAAAACAACCATAAATGGTGTTTAGGTAAACATATTAAAGTCCGTGTACCTTATTTAAGGGATTGGATTTACCAGTCCGCTATAGAAAATCGTATGTTTTCGGTACCCGGCCTACCCCCTTCTTCCTCGTTTTTGTCTCATTGTAGTTCTAGATTTGGGCGGTAATTAACGTGTGTGTTGCCAAAGGTTATTAATCTATGTGTGTTGCTCGGAAATTGTAAGAAAATCAAGGCCTTGGTGTTTAGGACCTAAGGTAATATTCTGGTGAAGTGAGGTGCATATACTTAAGTGTAAAAATTTGGTAGAAATGGATCCTCACGAGCCCTTCAGAGATACACTAGATTTTACAAATATATTGGTTGATTCAATTTTAAGCTCGGCACAGACAGACACAGAATCGGATTCGCAGTTAAGAAGTTTGCTATCCAGCTGGGGGTTTGGGTACTTATTCGACCTACTAAAAGGTATGTAAACCATTTTAGTAGGACCAATGGTAATTATATTTGTTATAAAAATTTAGTAATAAATTCTGTTACGAAAAGAGTGTTTTATTTTTCATCAATTTTAAATATTAGCGTACACCACCTAATTTGGTGCCCAACTAAAGAACATGTTTGCTTAAACAAAAAAAAGTAATATAACAAAAATAATTGTTGGTATACCTTTTAATTTGTTTCCAATACACACGTGTTGGTGGCTAGCTACTATTTGTTTGCAGCGCCAATTAATTTGTTGTAGAACTATAATGATGGGTAAACCAACTAAATTTAATGTTTGAAGTAACAATAAAAAAAGTACGGTTACAAATTGCACTTTACAATTCAATATTGGTTATTTTAACTATAGAACTGGGTAGACGCATTTTCATATGCTCTTTGTGGTTAATTTTACCTACTATTTTGTTTGAGTGAAATATTAACCAGAGTTTATGTTAATCCAGGTTCACATAATTTTATGTTAAGTTTACAACCAGCTGTAATCTGTTAACTAATTGAATAAGTAGTTTGTAATTATAACAAACATTTTGTAGATTTAATAAAAAAATCCTATTTCAATAATTCAATCATATTTCTTGTAACTAGGGTACTATAGTAATTGGACACATGGACCATAGTTATTGGACATACAATTTTTATATAAACATAACAACTTTACATCAAATAACATAAATTGTTAAATATTTTCTAAAGATAAATTGCTGTTTTAGGTAATTTTTTTTATTTCGCTGTTGTAAATATCATATAGGGTTGTAAATATCATATAGGGTAATTCATACATTTCTTTCTCGGATTCCTCATCCCTTTTCTGGATTCTGAAGGTAACTACTAATTCCTTGATCTGACTTCTGAAATAGTTTGTTGCAAATATCATTAAGTGTGGTATCTCTAGTTTTTGAAGCATTTATAATGTTTAGGCCGGGACAGTATGATTTATATATATCTAATATTTTTTCGGGTGGTATGTTAAAAGTATTTTCCGAATTTATTAATTTTGTTGCCATTAGTTTTTTATGTTCTCTACCATGCACTGTATTTAAATCACTGTTATTTTGCAAGATGTCCTGTGGCGAAGAAATCACTATATTACTTACTCTCTAAAAATGAAAAAGTCAAAAATGTCAAAAGCAGCCACTAATAATTCTCGACAACAGCAATTTGTATCCAGGACATTTAGCAGTCAATTCCGCTGAATCCGAAAAAGTTATAAAAGTAGAACAGTTTTTGAAATATAATCAATTTTACGTATAATACGGAATTGACTATATCTCAATAACTGCTTAACTTTTATAGTTTTTGACGGTCTTTTCGGATTCAGGGGACAATTTTACATAAGAATTGGCTGGTAAATGCCCGGGATATAAATAGAGTATGATATTGGACATATGTCCAATAATAGAAATTTACATTTTTTACCAACCAGTAATTGGACACTGGCCATTTTACTGTTTGTTTTCAGAATTAAAATTAAAACGCATTAAAGTGACAATGTTTAAACCATGAGGAACACATTTAAACCACACACTGATCTGTACACTTTTAAGAAATATTTTTTATTGTAATTTAAACACAGCCCTGCTTTTAACAAAAAAAACAAAAATCTCACCACTAAAGTAACGTGCGAACTTGTTTGTCCTATATTGGACCCAAAATAAAGTGGTTCTATATTATTACCGACTGAGATAGTTATAATTGTATGTATACAGCGCCATCTAATGATTTGACTTTAAGGTAACTATTTATAGAACTCTTGTTTTTACAGTGTTAATTTGAATTGTCCAATAACTATAAAGTGTCCAATAACGGTCTACTTTACCCTAATATTATGTAGTAAAAATTTCATTATTTATCATTAAAATCATTGTAGATATATTCGTCTGTTGCCGAATGTTTTGGAGTGATAGAAAACCAACACAAGCTCCATACAAGTCCACGCAAAATAATCTGTAAGCTTTGAAATTAACAAAATATACTATTAAAAATTACAGCCTATGATAACATTTCACTCGAGCAGTCCAGCGGACGTGGAGTGGTCAGTTGATGGAGATAACACGGATTACAGTGCATCATCATCACCAAATGTAAGAAAATTCAATCATCAAGATCAGGATTCGTTATCTGACGATGATGATTTTTCCGATGAGTTTTCAATCATAGACAGCGACGACGAAAAAAGAGCAGAGGCAAGATTTAATCACCACCACGTTGTACAGGTACAAATATTAGTTTTTAGACTTCAAAATAATACGTTCTGTGAGGATATTTCTTGAAAGAGTCATGGTTCTTCTTACAAGCAAAAATTAGCAAAAAAGTCATTAACCTTATCTTATCTTAGACTTCTTTGGAACCTACAAGGGGAGTCGTAAAGAAGATTTTCACCAACAGCAGGGAAAGATGGCGTCAACAAAACGTAAGTGGAGCCTTTGCGGAACTAAGAAAACTGGTCCCAACCCATCCACCAGATAAAAAGTTGTCAAAAAACGAAATTCTTCGAATGGCTATAAGGTAAATTAACAAAAATCAATTATACAGTAGCAATTGGACATTTTATATGGTAATTGGACACATGGACATACAATTTTTATATAAACAAAACAATTTTACATCAAATTCCTCATCCCTTTTCTGGATTCTGAAGATAACTACTAATTCCTTGGTCCGACTTCTGAAATAGTTTGTTGCAAATATCATTAAGTGTGGTATCTCTCTAGTTTGTGAAGCATTTATAATGTTTAGGCCGGAACAGGATGATTTATATATCTAATATTTTTTCGGGTGGTATGTTAAAAGTATTTTCCGAATTTATTAATTTTGTTGCCATCAGTTTTTTATGTTCTCTATCATGCACTGTATTTAAATCACTGTTATTCTGCAAGATGTCCTGAGACCAAGAAATCACTATATTACTTACTCTCTAAAAATGAATTAGTCAAAAATGTCATAGCGAAAAAGCAGCCACTAATAATTCTCGTCAACAGCAATTTGTATCCAGGACATTTAGCAGTCAATTCCTATTAAATATTATACGCTGAATCCGAAAATGTCGTCAAAAGTTATAAAAGTAGAACAGTTTTTGAAATATAATTAATTTTAAATATAATATGGAATTGACTATATCTCAAAAACTGCTTAACTTTTATAGTTTTTGACGGTCTTTTCGGATTCAGGAAACAATTTTACATAAGAATTGGCTGGTATATAAATAGAGTATGATATTGGAAATATGTCCAATAATAGAAATTTATATTTTTTACCAACTACATTCAAGTGCAAAATAATCGATCCACACAAATTTTCGATGAATTTCAATCGCAAATAACTTTTTTATTTGATGTCGGATTTAAACGAATATTAAAGAATATTGTAGATAAATTAATGGACAATTGCTCACATTTAAAAAAAAATACTAAAAAATAGACGTACGTTTGTAATATACAGGTTTAAACAAAAATATGTTTTTTACCTTAAGTTTAAGACACTCTGTAGATTGGCAAAACCGTATATTGTTCTAAATTAAGTTTTATTTATCAAGTTACATCTATTCTTAACAGTTTTGTTTTTTGTTCACCTCGATATATTTATTTTTGTGAAAAATAGGGATTTTTTTTTTAAAACATTGCAATTTCCAATATTTTTCTGTATGAAGAACTAAGGTTGCTAAGTACAAAGGGCAACATCAGTCGGGGACATTTTTAAAAGTAAGAAGACACCTCAAAATTAACACATTAATTTACAAAAAACAATTTGATAGCTTTTGAAAGCTGTATATGACATGTCCAAGTATGGGATGATTCAACAAAACTGCCACTGTCATCCTCCATAGGCTATGGATGGACCATAGCAACCTTAGTTCTTCATAAAGAAAAATATTGGAAATTGCAATGTTTTTTTAAAAATCCATATTTTCCACAAAAATAAATATATCGAGGTGAACCAAAAACAAAATAAAACTTAATTTAGAACAATATACGGCTTTGCCACTCTACAGAGTGTCTTAAACTTATGGTAAAAAACATATTTTTGTTTAAACCCGTATATTATAAACGTACGTGTATTTTTTAGTAATTTTTAAAATGTGAGCTATTCTCCATTAATGTATCTACAATATTCTTTAATATTTGTTTAAATCCGAAATCAAATAAAAAAGTTATTTGCTATTGAAATTCATCGAAAATTTGTGTGGATCGATTATTTTGCCAGCGTCATCTAAGGATTTGACTTTAAGGTAACTATAGAACTCTTGTTTTTACAAAAACTATAAAGTGTCCGATAACTGTCTACTTTACCCTAATATTATGCAGTATAAATTTTATTATTTATCATTAAAATTATTGTAGATATATTCGTCTATTGACGAATGTTTTGGAGTGGCAGAAAAGTAACACAAGCTCCATACAAGTCCACGTGAAATGTGAAGATATTTCTTCCATAATACGCCAACAAGGCATCGGGAATCAAACATTAAGAACTAGAGCGAGGTTAAGAAGAAACCATATTCAAGCCCCTGTATGCGACAAAAATGGAAACAATTTGTTGATGATAGCACCCAACAATCATCTACCATTCAGAAGATCCATATTCATAGACATGCCCATCATTCAAAGCCAAAACATCGTAAAAATGGAAAGCGATGAGGCCAAAAAAGACGAAGACAAGAATTAATTAATTACCTAATTAAATTTTAAGTCTAGCTGTGCAATATTTGTTGTTTTTATTTAATTCGTTGAAATATATTTACGTCCCGATTTTTTTCTTTAATTTCAAAACAATGCGAGTATTACTGTGCCAAATCAACATCCTAATGTTTTCACTTTCCTCTGTAAAATTCGGAAGGCTACTTCCTCTGCACACCTTGGTTATACCGGTGACGTCACACCTGTTAGCCTTGCTCACCTGAGCGTGTGGGGGATCCCGACAACGTTGCCAAGTGTTGCGTTTTGTACGATACGGAGAGGATTCTTTATAAAAATACCTAACCTACATTTCTCTAAATATAACAAAAAAAAGTAGTTTGTCTTAATAAAGTAAAGATCCCTATTCATCCAAGCATTAATTATAAAGTAAATTTACGTTATGTTTATAAAAATAACACTCTTCCAGATGCAGAAACGCATTGATAAATATAGTAATTATTATTTGTCCAAAAAACAGTTCTATACCGTTTACAAAAACGTTTTGTAGTATTCATGAAACCCTAATGGTATTATTCATAGAAACAACAACAAATTAATTGTTAATTCAATAAACTATTTTCATTGTAACAATGGTCACATTTTCAACCTACTGTTTTTTTTAAATAATTGCAAGGCATTAAAACAAATTAATTCATTTATTTCATCTATATGATGTACAAAATAAAAAAATATGAACTCACTTTTTAAACAACAAGTCTACTTCGTTTATAGAATAGACCTTAAATGGGTCGTTTTCAAAAAACACCCGCCTTCCGCTGTCCGTAAGTTTGAATTCCAATAACTTTGTTAAAAATTATCGGATCTTATTGATTTAAAAACCAAGTGAAAGCCTAACAATCGCTTAGTAAACTCTTTTAAAAAATGTTTGTTTAGTTATTTCAGAATAATTTTTTTATAATTTTGAAACTTGTGAAACACACATTTTCGCATGTCTCATTAAAACTTACATACATGTTTTTTTTTAAATATTGAATAACCAGAACTTTGTGTTGCTTTATAGCAATCCATAACATCCTTAGTTAATACAGTAAACAATTTATATATAAAATAATTAATTTTAATCTACTTTTTTTAAATTTGACTCATGTCCCAGAAATTTGTTCCGTTGCGTTACGTCCGTCGCGTTACCGATAGAATATTAAAACAACATATTTATGGCAACTTTTTTGGCACTAACGTGATCAACAAATGATGTTCGGACGTACACATTACCCAGCTGAATTTATTTATTCAATCAGGAAGAAGATATCGGTTGAAACAGGTGCGGGTAACGCGAATGTAATAATTGTTTGTCCGCTAAGTTACTCAAAAAAAAATAATAATAATAAGGTAAGAAAAAATACTATTTTTCATGTTTATGTTTATTTTACGGCACTAAAGCTCATTGAGAGTAATTAATGACTGTAATGTCCTATTATTATTTTTTAAATATGGTTTTACAAAACTTTGTCCACTGCGTTACCGAGTCCACTATGTTACCTTGTAACGCAATGGAATTTAGGGTAACGCAATAGAATTTTTCGACAACAAAGTGGATATTTACCGTCGCTTTTATTAAAAGTAGTTTATGATAAACCAATTTAAAATTATTTGTGATTACAACTCATGATATAGATTACATCCAAGGGAAAATTCCACGCAATATAAAAGTACTAAAAGGGACCTTCACCAGCCTAAAGTCAAAGAAAAAGGGTGTCTACAATTTAGAAATCTAAGTTGTTATTCTGCAAGTGAGCACCACTACAAGGGACTTTGTTTATGCATTACTCTAAAATCGTACCACCCTTTATAGTTTCTTTTTTACGTTATCTGATTAAGTCCTTTGTGTACCCCAGTCCGTTGTGATACCAATGTCTATTTCGTTACTTTTTTTAGTTTTTGTTAAAAAAAATACTTATAATGATTTTTATACACTATCACTTGGTAATAGGAGTTTATAAATTAGAGTTTAACTCACTAATACAGTGACTAAAAGAAAATATTAATGGTATAGTTTTTTTAACAAAGAATCGGAATGGTTTCTTTTAAAACGTAACTTACCATACATATTTAAAAAAGCATAAAATTTTTAATAAAAAATAAAACAACTTTTTTTATTGAATTAAATTTTGGATTTCAAATTGGTAACACAGTGGAGATATATAAAGCTAGCTACACGTTTTTCTGAAAAAAAGTGCACTGCCTGTCTTAAATGTAAGTAAACAAAACTCTAAACATTTATAAAAATCCAACCAAAAGTCAATTTAAGCAAAAAAAAATTTTGATCTTCATTTTCCTGAAAGCGGGTGTTTCTTGAAAATGACCCTATTATCAGTGCATGTACATTTTTCTGAGTTTATTATTTTTTCGATGTTTGGTAATTGGGAAATGGTCCAACTTAGACTTGGCAACGTGTAGTGCAGTGAATGAACGAGAGTCATAGCGCGCATTCACGCTGGACGTATTCACAAGTCTTGCGAGCGGCTAAGAGCTTGCGGAATCATTCCTTCAGCAACCGCCTTTCTAATTTTCACGAGACGGTCTACTCGGTTCTAGTTTCAAGTTATAACGTTTCCATACGAATAATACTTTAAGTGACGCTATGTGCATCTGAAACTGTGATTTTCCCCGTAACCAAGGAATTTTCAGTGCAGTGTTTATTTTGCGGGTCGTTCGAGAAATTTTATTGGAATTCTTCGCGCATACCAACAGGTAGGTGTGTAAATACGCATTTAAATAAAAATGTCCCACGATGTTTGGTAAACAAGTCGTATGGATTTTAAAGAGCGCGAATGCGCTTTCTTATATCTATATGAAGAGAAATTGATAAGAATTCATAAATATATTGAAATTTTTTAAATATCAAACACCTAAGACCAGGTAGATTATAGAATTTCACAAAATGTATGACCATGTTAAAAATAAAAGAAGAAATTGTTTTTATTTGCTGGAATGACCCATATGCAAGAAACGCACGCCAATGAATTGTTGCTATTTATTAAATACTGTTTATTTATAAGTGTTTACTAACGACTTTTTACATAATAGCTTATATGTATGTACATGTAAGTACGAACACACCTCAATTTTTTACACCTGTATGCATATGAAAATACAGCTGACCAATAAAGTTGAAAATAAAATTTCCTAAGAGTTTTGTGAGATTTGTTAAAAGTAAAATTAGAAAAAATATTCAAATTATAAACAATCTATGCAAAATTTTACCTAGACTAAATATTTGAATGCATTACTTTTTAAGATTAGTTTTAACCTTCCAAACCTTTTAAATTTATCAACCGGTTGCTATAACCTTAAGGTAAATTCAAAGGTTATTTTAGTACAATTTAACTAATAAAAGAAACCTATTGGTAATATTACTAACTACCTAGTTAAAAAAGAATTTTTTTTTAAATTAGAAGTAAATTTACGTTATGTTTATAAAAATAACACTCTTCCAGATGCAGAAACGCATTGATAAATATAGTTATTATTATTTGTCAAAAAAACAGTTCTATACCGTTTACAAAAACGTTTTGTAGTATTAATGAAACCGTAATGGGATTATTCATAGAAATTTTGTAAATTTTACAAATCCCTTTTCGTTTAAATTAAAACTTTTTTTATTATATCAATAAAATTTATGTAAATGTAACAATAAATTAATTGTTAATTCAATAAACTATTTTTATTGTAACAATGGTCACATTTTCAACCTACTGTTGGGTGTTGGGTAGTTTTTTTTTAAATAATTGCAAAGCATTAAAACAAATTATTTATTATACTCATATTAAATGATGTACAAAATAAAAAAATATGAACTCACTTTTTAAACAACAAGTCTGCTTCGTTTATAGAACAGACCTTAAATATTTCTTAGAAAACGTCGAAATTTTAATTTTCTTAGCGATCTTTTTGATATTTTTATCATGCTAGATTTTACCACACTTCACTCGCACAAGTGAAATCAATAAGATTATAACTCAGACTGTGGATTATAAAGTTATGTTCACCAAGGAGAGCGCTGGCCCTTTCCCCCTCTTTTTAAGGGAAATAACAAAAATTTTGTTACCATTGCAAAACAATAGTAAATATTAAAAGTCTTTTTATAGCAATAAAATATTTTTGTTATTGTTCTTAACGTAAGCTATTAACGAAGATTTTCCAACTGAAATAAAATTAATTTGAATTACACGATAGTAATTTAAAAAAGACAAATATGCCATAGTAAAATGAACAAATTTTACTATATATATATATATATGTTATAACAACTGCGCATTACTTTATGTACCTAAGCGCAATTTTTTAAGTTCGACAAAGATTTAATATAAACATAAAGTATTTCCTATTGCCATGACAATATGATAACAACTAGGTATTACTTTGTTGGATGAATATTTTTTTTATAAAAGCTCAACATTGCTGCTTCATTATAGTAAATGAGAATTTTATTAAATTTAATCATTATCAATGCATGTACATTTTTCTGAGTGTACATAGTTGAAATCAGTACCTTAATAACCAAAAATGAGAAAAACCGCGTTTTGTATTAATTAACATTACATCTTCGTATGACTTATTAACGAATTCCTATGCATATAGCATGTTAAATATGCGGTTTGGCAATTAGCCGAGGAATTTCAAAATAATTTATTATCGACGCAACTAAAAAAAATTAACCTGCCTATGGCTGATCCGAGGTTCGTATTCTAATCGTGTATAAAAGTTACCTCACACTTGCTGTTTGGAGAAAGTTATGTTTGCCGTGTATCGGAATCGCGCCTTACATAATGAAAAATAAAGATAAAACAGCTTTATGTCAATAGGCAATTAAAATACCTCGGCAAAAAGTTGGAATGTTTCGAAGAAGCTAATTATGAAGATTTGAAATATTCATTGATGAGTTTATTGTATTAAAAATGATTTATTTATGATATTAGGGTGTGTTTCACAAGTTTTATATTTTATACTTTTATAACCTATAGTTTATAAACTAAATATTTAACTAGTTAGTAATATTACCAATAGGTTTTTTTATTAGTTAAATTATACTAAAATATAACCTAATTGAATAAAAAAACAAGTTTAAAAAGACTTTATTTTACATAGATTTTGGTTTAATAAAATAATGTTAAAGAAGCATGAAGGTTTGTCATTTAATTTGTTAAAGATGATTTTTGATCAAATGATAAACCTTGGCATCTTTCTTAGTCATGGGAAATTAATTCGTTAATTTGTGATTGCAGTAAAACAATGAATTAAATAATTGTTATAAGGATTTCTATTAAATAAATAAATAGATTGGCAATATTCCATCTATTTATAGAGATATTACACGGTGTATAGGTTTTTAAATAGCAAATTAATAAACTTAAACTTTGGAATTATAAAACAGCAACACTCTCATCTGCATATAAATTCTAACTGACCTTCAGGAATCACATGCATCTGTAGTGTCGTAAACAGAGGTTTTTTCTTATTTAAAATGATTAAAGCGCCATCAGTTGCATAAAATTTAAAGCAAAAACAGATTCACGGAGGATAGAATCAATTTTTGTAACACCTACATAAATGGTTATAAAAATTATTTCTTTTAATTTTTAATAATATTTTATATTTGATTCGATTGCTTTGGATGTGTTTTATTTACTTAGTGAACTGATATTTTTAGTATGCTTTTACTACCTCAAATATTTGAAAACATATAGGTTAACCTAGAAAGAGTAACATCACGGAGGATAGGTTTTAGTCTTTTAAAACGTTGTAAAAAATAATTAATTGCGGTTAAAAATCTGGAACCTGAGCTGTAATATCTACTTAATTATGAAAGATCAAAACACAATATAAGTGTAGGTCAAACTTATTTAGTTTTATTAAATATCGGGGGGTAAAACCATCGGGGGACATTTTGTGATATTCACCCACCTGTTAATAAGGTTTAAACACCTTATAATTGTTTATTTAAATTACCCACCAAGATAAAAATAACTTTCTTATTTCCAGTGCTACTTTATTCATTATTTATTTAAATTCGTAGTCAACGAACTCTTTTTCCGTGTATTTATTATTAAAATTACCATTTAAACCCCAACTTTACAAACAAATCTTCCTATCACTTTAATAATAAATGTACAAATTAAAAGGTATACCTACATGGTTGCCAAGCAACAAGTACATCCATATAAAACAAAAAGTAACGAGACCATTTAGTCAAGTGACCTGGATACCAGGCAACTCGATTGGGCACCGCACGCTTTACAATAATTTCTGCAATAAATTGCTTGGTATTACTTATAAAAGAACATTATTCTTAACTGTACTTTTAATTCAAAAAGTTATGTTGTTAATAAAAATATGAAAAATTGGTCAAGGATTTACCAAGTTTTTACTGATATCTACATGGGTAAAAGTTTTTCTGTAAATAAATAAATATATTAATTGCAATTTAAAATGGTTAAAAGTTCACAATCGCTTTTTCTAGAAATGTACTTGCCAATTAATTAGCATTTAAAGGCTACTTATTAAAAAAACTCACATTATGATAAAAACTTGTTTTTTATTTTTATAAATATAGATTATTTTACATTACATTAGGTATGTATATGAATCATATATACACTTTTTCTTTATGTTATAACATAAAGAAAAAGTGTACCTGTGTACACTAGTAAATATACCTAATTTACATACAAATTTAACCATGAATATAAATTAATTTTATTGCGGAAAAAAATATATATATATACAGGGTGTTATGTAATTAATGTTATATATTAAAATGGGTTGTTCCTTAGGGTCCATAAAAAAGCACCTGATAAGCACGTGATAATTAGGTATCAATTGCGCACCATGGTCACTTTTTACCTACCAGCATTAAATTATTGTACCATTTTTACTAAAAATACCTCATTTAAGGTAAAAAAACAATATTTTGTCAATTAATTAATTTAATCCTAATTGAGGTATAAAAAATGGTATTTAGTTATAAATAATAATTATTATTAAGTTATAAAGAAACTATTTATAGTTTATCAATATTTAATCAATTTAGTTCGAAGATTAATTTGCAAACTTTGTTAAGCAGTTATTCATAATGGATTTTTTAACAGTGGAAGAAAAAATAGATTTTGATTTATGGAGAAGCAGGCAGGAATCTTGATGATGCTGTTAATATCTACGCTCAGCGTTTTCCGGATATAATTCGATCGCGTACTTCATTTCACCGTACAGTCAAGCAGTTTACTACAAACGGGAGTGTTCAACCGAAAAAAAGAGTTCGTCGAGCAACAGTCACAGGTGGAAATAATGAATTTAATGTATTAGCAGCAACGGCCGCTAATCCTCATGCAAGCACACGAGAATTATCCAGAGGTTTTCATTTACAAAATCTATCTATTTTTAGTTACTATTAGTTTAATTTAATTTCAATGTTTTTTCATGGATAACCTGTAATAACTAGTAATTATTTTGTATTTTTAATTTAGCTACTAAATCGTTCCTAATTAAAAAAATTCAATAAAATTTGGTACACAGAGAAAAAGGATTACTTGAATAAAATAAATTTTGTTTGTCCCAAATAAATTTGTTGTTTGTATATGGCGAAGTAAATATTTATTTGTTTATTATTAGATATTTCTTTAATATGTTTTAAAGAATATTTTATTTCTTGAATAATTTTTTTCTTTGAAGATTCAAAAAATATACCATGTTGT